GGTTCATAGGTGAGAAAAGTTTCAGATAATCTAACATTGACACTAGAACTACCGATTTAATAATATTAATATGCAGTCCCTATAAAAATTCTAACAGATTATTTTCAGTTTCTTCCATTCATTATAGTATTCAAAAACTATATTCAAGATCATTGCAAACATCGAATGCTTTGAAGATATGAATCGCTGCGAAAGGAGCAAATCGAAACCGGTCATTTTGACTGGTACGGTAGTTCTAGCGTTAATACTCTCCCGGCGACCAGTGCGGGAAAGTGGGTGAACCCGGTGTCGTGTTTGCGGCGAGAGACCAACGGATTCGCGTTTCCCTTATCGTCGTCGTTGTTGTCATTGTACGTCTACTCTCTCCCCTTCAACTTTCCCGAGCGTCCCCGCAGACGAAGGCGGATTTCGACGTCGCTCGGACGTCCAATTACATTACGAATCGCCGCTCGCCTTTAGAGAGAGCTTGTCGGCTGAGAATTAACGTCGAGAGAAGATCCGATCCGCCGTAAAAAACTCCCCTTTACCGTTCAACCCGGCACAAGTCAAAACGCGACGATCGGTGAACCGTGAACAGCCGGCGTCCGATTCCGTCAACTTTCTCGTATTTTTCCCTTGCACCCACTCGCGATTTCGTGGGCGAACGATTCGTTCTGTGCGAACCGATTCGCGGTCACTCGGAAACCGCGTTTCTGCAAAGTTCATCGCGGGGAGACGCGACACGCGAGGTTGCGAGGTATAAATCTAGCCGCGATCGATGTCCTCCTGGTAACGAGACCCGAGGACATTCCGTTTCGCCGAATGGCTCTAGGTACGTCTTCGATTGGAAACTTCTTCGACGAATAGACAGACAAAAGGGAGCTCGAACGTTATAATGAGAGAATATGTAGATTTCAAATGATCAAAGGTTTAACGTTGTATCTATTCCTTATTACCCTGTACAGTCGGAAACTTTGCACTAAAAATATTCGACGCTTTCCGATGAAACGTAGACACTATTTGAAACGAACCAATGAGAAAACATACATCAGTTAACACTAAAACTACCGAGCACTTCAATTGACTTTTGAAAATTTCGCTATAGAAACTCCAAGAGTGCATCTGTTCAGACTTTAATTGATTTACAATTCAGCAAAATAGTCGTTTGCTTCGATCCGTGAGTAATGAACATTGATTCTTAAATTAGTTTAGAAATCATCACGAGTCTCGCTCATCATTGTACAGCAAGGGGTTAATGAAACTCGCGACCCGACTCTACATCTTTCTTTCTCTCTTTACGTTATTCCCTGATATTCGTCTATTTCTCGATCCCCTGTCTTCAGAGCTCGTCGCTCTATGCTTTCGCCATTAGTCGACTAGCGGGTTAGGTCGAGACCCTACAAATATGCGATAGGTGCCCAGTTCGTGTACCGTCCTCGAGAAAAGGGACAAGCGGAAGATTGAATAGAGATTGCGGCGAGCCAAGTACGCGATGGAACTCTGATGGATTTACCGCGCAGAAAGGATCGCTTACCGGGCCACTCGAGAAGGTCCCATGTAAGTCACCACGGTGTTGGTTCCATCGGGAGTAGACGGGACACGCGAGATTTAATCGATATTAGTGTTTGCCCCGAAAAAAGGGGGCTTCCGCAAGGACGAGCCGCATTGCGGGGCGAGGGGCTGCCCGAGGGAGATGTATTTGTCGCGGGGAAACGGTTATCGGGGCCACGGATAGGCGCAATGAAGTGGCGAGCGTAGACGCAACGATAGAAACTGAACGAACGATCGTTCGCTTCTGCGAGAAGTAACGACCTCGTTCAAGGCCGACTTATGGACTGGGTTACGCGGGCCAAGGCCGACCCGATTACGTGTGCACATGTCAAACGATGCTTTTCTTTTAATCTCCCGAAGGCGAACCGTCCCGGCGACTATAACGCGCGATAGCGCTCGCGTCTTTCCTCGATTGTTTTCTATTAGATCGATTAGACCTTCGTTCCTGGAAACGCGTCGATCCCTTTATCGTGCTCGACGCGAGCAGCGGTTGACGCGAGTTTAACATTGAAACTACCGGCGGTCGAACTGACTTTCCCAAATGTTTCTGTAGGAACTGAGAGTGCAGAGACTTATAATTCAGTCTGCATGTAAACAATAAATTACTGAAACTAGTAATTTCTAAGAGAAGCGTATATTCTGTTAGTAATTAGAAGAGCTTAGGAATGGGTAAACTTGACCGGTTTGGTAGTGTTAACAGTGGGAAGTTTTTAACGACTCAAGAGAACCATCGTTGTTCAAGGGTCATACAATCTTCCTCCGATTCGCGTCACGCCGATAATCTTATCAATCGAGGCATGCATAAGGCGAATTATCAGAACCATCGGAGTTCTCGCAGATAGCTAATTGGAAGGGATTACAGGTTTCAATCCGAGTTATTCGGATTTCGAAATTCGTCCTATGTGCTCTGTGTCGCGATTGCTCATAAACAATTGCGAGAATCATCGCGGTACTCGGGAGGAAACCGAGTACACGCTCGCCGAGCGAATAGCATGCGCGAGAAATCGGACGGTGTGATTAGATAAAATATAAATGTACGTGTTGCGAGACTCACTTTTACGTCGAACGCGTCGGTGGGCATCCGCTGCACTCCGTTCATCTTCGACGGAACTGTCACTCCCGCGAGTCAAGTCACTTTTTCACTGACTCTCGGTCCCGCCGCTGGCCGCTCGCTCGCTCGCTCGCTCGCTCGCTTCCCGGCAAGCCTCGAGCACGGGGGTGGCACGCGCGGACACGAGCACGATCCACGGGACACGCGAAAACGTTTGGGAACCGCGGGCCGAGCAGTTAGGAGCCGCTTCGACGCATCCTCGGCCACGTCCGCGCGACAACTGGAAGCGGCTCGAATTCGATCAGCAGTTCGTACACGTGTTCGCACCTTGCCCCCTGCTCCGTCCTGGCGAGCTTGGATCTCATTCGACCGATCGAAACACCATGAAACCTCCTAGGTGCTCGTCAAGGGTTGCCAAACCCGGTGACAACGGTTTCCAGATCTGGAAAAAGCAAGTACAATAGAGGAGAACGTTTAACGAATGCTTTCAGCTTACCGAGCTGACTTATTTCCACGACTAACAAGTAAGAGAGAAAGAGAAAAAAGACGCTGCACACGCGCGACTCTCGGGTCAAAGGTCTTGTTTACGATCTTACGGGTACCGTCGAACGTCGAATTTCGCGATTGCGTCGAAAGCACCGGGAACGAATCGTAGACGGCGCACGAGGCCGCGAGGTAATGATACGGCAGCCGAGGAGAGGTCCGTCAAGGTTTTTCGATCCTTGATCGATCACGAACGATCTCAAGGTCCTTCTGGATACTGATTATCGATTCCCGAGCGGGCAAGCTTGAATCCGATACGCCGTGGATCCGGTGGCATCGCGTCGACGACGACATACGAGAACCAACTAACGTTCACCGGACTTCTGCGGGTATACACGCGCGCGCGACCGCTTCGTGGAGAACCACGCTTCGCGGTCTGCAATAACAGATTTGAACACTGGCCGAGGCAGGCTCTAGGTTTCGCGCTTGCGCTCCACGCGTTCACCCCGAAACACGTGGTATCCTTCGGAGCACCCGCCCCCTTCCGTTTTCCCTCGGCCTATGGATCACGGGCGATCCGCATTGTTATCCTAAACCGTGCCTGCCGACTCGCGGCGAAACGAGTTAACTCGCCGCTCGCGTTTCAAGTGTATCCCCTAATAATTTATCATTCCTCCAGGCGTCCGCGTACGACCACGTTCCCACTGACACGTCGAATGTGGTTTTACGGTGCACACCTTATAAATAAACGTAATAAACCCGTGAACTATCGCGTGGCCTACGCAGGACGAACGATAAACCACGCGAATTTAGCGCGAAACTCGGCGTGCTAAATTCGATTGTAATACCTGTGCGCGCGTATAAATTCCGGCCCCAACTCCTATTTACTACGGGATAATCCGCGTACAGTGTATTTACAATATTTCTCGCTAAACATCCGCGCATCCGTGGTTACGAGGGAGCGGGGAGGCTCGGGATAAAAATTCGAACGTGGACCACACCGGTTTACACGGATAGATTTTCATTGGAGAGTCGGACGCTAGAAAGGACTTCGGGGACCGAAAGATACCACGAGCAGATACCGCGGCGGCGGCCGGCTACTCGAAAACTCGACGTGTTCCATGTCCGAGGGGGAGTAGAGAAACAGGTTTAAGAGCGTAGTTGACCGCGTCGCCTTTTAAATCGGTCATCCGTCTAGCCGGGTAGAAATCACGTCGATTCGAAATCAGGCACTACTGCGTGTGTCGGGGAGAGCCTCACCGGTGAACGTGTACAGGTATCGAGCGTGTAACCGGTTAATTGAAACGGGCGGAATTAAACGGTCGGTGAACAGGGCCCGAGCAAGGATCTCCCGGTACCGTGGAACGAGGAGGACACGTTGCACTCGCGGGTTCGAGACAGATAATAGGTCGCGGATTGGCACATGGCAAGCATGTCCCCGCCGCAGGATTCTACGTAGCAGCCGGCGTTCGGGCGCTCCGCGTCGCGACTGCCGCCGCGGCTAAAAAACCATACGATGACCTCATCACACCGACTCTGTTCTCCTGCCCATGTCACCGCTACTAGCCGTTCGGAAAACATCGCCACTTGCCGTCGCCTCCTGCAGCTTGTCCGCTCGTCACGTTAATCGTCCATCCGAGCCACTATTTTAACAATAATGATAATTAGATAATTATATCGCGCGCAACGGTTAACGAGCAGGCGTCGGTATTGCTGCTGTTGCAATACCTGGCCCGACTGCGTTGCGAATAAACAAGGGAATCAGAAATCAGGCATAACAAATGAAACAAAAAACAGAAGGATGAAGGTGAAAAGAAAGAAGGGAGAAAGCTGCATTGGCGACTATATAGGTGCGATGTAATTGATATTACGTGGATGGATGCTGTCGATGGATGAAGAAAGAAAGAAATACCTACTACGTGTATAGGTCCGTACAGTTGACGAGTTAACTCGTCCTTTCGGAGCAGCGTGTTAACCGTGCTTCCGGGTTTGGAATTCTGGGATTATTGTTCCTAGCAGGGGCGAAGATGATATGTAATTAAATCAAGATTAAAGGAATGGTTTTGTTTTGTGGGATTTAAGCATTAGTGTTTGCGTACCTAGCCAGGATCAAAGGACATTGAGAAAGTCATGACACGCCGCGATGATTTCAAAAATGCCCGCTCCTTGCTTTGCAGCTGCATACTCTTGCGACACACGAATACTCGTGGCAGTAAATTATTCTTTTCTGACCTATGGAAATTAAATATAAAATCAATGTTTACAGAATAATGTTTATATATGTTGCGGTTAGAATTTGCGGATAAAACTTTGGTTATAAATCGTAGAGGAATTCATTGGTTTGAATTTTTGAAATTTTCTTACCCATTTGCGATAATAATGTATTATTCTGTAGTCTGAAAGTATATTAATGTATGTAAATATTATGTTTTGATGTTGATTTACATTTTTTTTTAATAAATCAGCAGATTCCACACGGTACGTCGTTCTTGAGAAGAGTGGGACAGTTGGTCATGCACGTGCGATGAGAATGGAGTGCGTAACCTGACGTATCCCTTGTGTACTGAAATTTCGGAGTGAATTATTAAAAATGTTTAACGAGATATAACGTTGTACCGTACTATTGGCATTTGTGTATTTCAATAAAGTTCGATCTATTTCTATAAAGTTTATAGGCAATGTATGCGTTAAGGTTAAGTGCGATGTGCTGTGTTAAAAGTTTGTAATAGTAATTTAGGAAAAGTATTGTACCGAAAATATATTCTTGAATACAAAAGCAATCTGTTGCTGATAGCCTGACACACCTGTCTATTATTAACACTTGCAAATAACAATTTTCAATTATGGCCTCTGATAAATCTGTCAACTCGAACCACACAGATCTGACTAACGTGAAAATAAAAGTAGAACCGGGAACATCGATGCCGGTTCCTATAAGAAGCATTAAAACCGAGCCTGGTTTATCGACGGCTACTACTAGACTAACTTCGTTTCGTTTGCCAAGAGATCTAACATTAGGAGGCAACATTAAAACTGAGAGACCTAAGAAAGTGTACACACCAAATTTAAATGCTCAGAGAACAAAAAAGAAAGAGTAAGTTACAATTAGTAAAACCAGGTCCGAATAAAAGAAGTTAATTAAATATTAATGATTTTGAAGGGATGCAACACCGGCTGATTCTGTAAAACCAGGTAGAGGTAGAGACAATCGGGGACGTGGTAGAGGTGAAAGAGGCAGAAACGACAGAGGACGTGGAAGAGCAAGCAATCTAATACAGGTATATTGAAAAATCCTTTCTGATGAATAATATACTTCTATCCTTTTATTTATGCATACCTTATTTATTCAGTCCAGTGGTATATGGTCTACTGGAATAAATAGTACCCCAGGGAAACGTAGTAGCAGTGGCGGTGGTGGTGGTGGTTATGGAGATAGTGATAGAAGTACACAGAATACCTTAGAAAGACCAAAATTAGATTTAAATCGCAGTGTTAATAAAGCTGAGGAAGAAGAAAAATTGAAATTATTGTTGAGAGATGATTTTATCGATGATGGAGAACCTGTAGATCTTGATAATGGACCTGTTATGCTACCTATGGTCAAAGGTATGTATTTATTACTATTTAGTATGCAATACAGATGAATTTAAGCAGAATATCACCATTTATATATTACAGCCAAACTGAAGAATGAAGAAACTAAACAGGAATTAGAAGTAGAAGAAGAAGAAATAAATGAGAAGCCAATTATATTAGAGAATGGAGAGGGTACGTATAATGTTATTCTCTTATGTCAGAGAAACTGTAAAGTATTATTATTTTTAGTATTACCACCTAAAACAGAAGTTAAAGTGCCTAAATCAAAAATAGAACTGAAGGACGAGTTTGATAGCATTCCAGAAATGATTGAAAATAAGTCTAATTCGTATATACTAATTCAGGTATGGGACAAAGAAAAAACGAAGTATACTTGTCTTCACAGTTCTTATAATAAATATATATAGTTTCCAGATTGTTTACCTGGTTTCGTGGGTAGCGCGGAAGACACTAGAACAACTCGTCCAAACGTCACAAGTCAGGAAAAGCGAACCACGAGTACTTCAGAAACAGAATTCTGCACTTTGAATACTTTGAAACCTGGTATTCTAGGAAAATTGCAGATTTTAAAGTCTGGTAAAACGCGATTAGTGTTAGGAGAAAATAATTTGATCGTGGATGTAGGATCGCATCTTAGCTTTCGACAGGTACGTATATGAAACTATAGAAACAAGCAATACTATATTGCATTAATATTCGTTTTCAGGATCTGATTGCTGCGAAATTAGATACTGAACAATTAAATGGTGATCTAATTAATCTTGGACCAGTTAGTAATACGCTTATATGTTCCCCCGATTGGGAATCTATGTTGGCCAAATTGTAAATATATTTATACTGTGCATACAATTTTATACAGTATTTAAAATTCAAAACTCCTGGAAACAAAATATGTTGTTTTATATAACTTATACCTATCCAAACTATAATAAGAGATTGTGATAACAACTTGCTGAAAGATAAGGTTTTTCTTCAAGACGTAATTTATTTTTTTCTTTTTTTTTAATCTTAATATAGATAACTCGATGAAAACTTATTTTTACACAAATTAGATTTACTAACTAAATTCATCGCTCTATACAATGAACAGTAATTCATAAAATGAACTCCTTAACCAAAAGGTGACATCTTTTCTTCGCTCAGCTGTATCAACGTCTTGAAAAATGTAAAAATCGTACATTAAAGTGGCACAAGAAATTACTGTCCCTATTACAATAAGGTATATGCTATTTCCATTTCGCTAAGTTAAAACGAACAACTATTACGATTACGAGGTGAATCGTAAGCTTAAGTTTAGGGTTCGTAAAAATTAGGGCTCCCTCACAATGAACTTTTAAGAATGCCAAACTCGTTTTGCACAAGAAAATATTGTGATACAATAAAATTCTATTATCGTTAATATTGAACGGAAACGTACTTGTGATACAGTTAGAGCAAGTGCATTGCAATAGAGGTATACACACATTACACACGCTTCGTAATAAATCGTACGAATTCTCAATCACTTCTCTCTATACTGTGACCCTTTTTCATTGATTTCAAAGCTTTTTCCCGTAATTTTTTCTCCAGTTCCTCAGTATTCCCCTCACTTACATCGGATTCGTCAGAATCCGCAACCTTCTTCTTTTTGTGTTTCCTGTGCTTTTTATGTTTCTTGTGCTTCTTGTGCTTTTTATCCTTCTTCTTTTTCTTCTCTTCCACTTCGCTCTCCTGAAAACACATCAATTACAACAGATAAACAATTCGTTCTAAAATATAAATGATTATGAAAGAGAAACGATTACCTCCGATTCGCTAGTACTAGTTTTTGTCTTCTTTTTACGTTTCTTCTTCACTTTTTCCTCGTCTGAACTGTCATCGTTTTTCCTCTTCTTCTTCGTATCCTTCTCTCCTACATCTTCGTCATCCGTACTCGAATCTCGTTTAGATTTTTTTGGGCGGGTTTTTCCTTCATCTTCACTCGTCGAATCTTTCCTTGATTTTCGAGATCTAGACTTCTCATCTTCCGAAGAACTGTCTCTCCTCTTCCGTGTCTTCTTTGGTTCATCGTCTGAACTTGAATCCTTCTTGGATTTCCGTAGTCTGGAGGACCTGTCGTCTTCGCTCTTACCTCTCTTTGTTTTCTGATCGTCATCGCCCGAAGATGAATCTTTCCTAGATCTCTTCGATTTCTTCGTTTCTTCTTCAGCTTCTTTCTTCGACCGTTTGCGAGACTCGCTCTCGCTAGCGTCTCGTTTTCTGCTATCCTTTTTATCCTTGGCACGTTCATCTAATGAATCTGAAGAAGACAGTTTCATCGTAAAATCTTGCGATTTGTTTCATTAAAGTCGCACGTCTGAATCTTACCTCCTCGATTCGAGTCTCTAATCTTCTTATTTTTTTCGACGTGTTTCCTCTCCTCTTCGGAGTCTGAGCTGGAACCTCCTTTGTCCGATTTCTCTTCATCCGTAGAAGCTTTCCTAGATTTCCGAGATTTGTCCAACTTCCTCGATTTCTTCTTGCCTACAATACATAAGAAAAAAGCATGAAGCCTCGTTAAAACAATACTATGAATGTTTTAAAAAACTTGTATTTACCTTCACTTTCGCTATCGTTCGAATCCGTAGAACCATCACGTTTTTCCCTTTTCGATTTCTTGATCACTTCAATGGGTTTCTTCATAAGGACTGGTTCCGAAGTCTTCTGGCTAGATTTCTTTTCCTCGGTCACTGCTTTGATCGATTTGATCGACTTGTCGTCCTTTTTCAAAGGGAAAGCATCTCCAGACGCGAAGCTCGACTCTTCCTTTGGTGATTCTTCTTTATGCTCTTCTCTATAGATTAAGAATAATAACAATTAGCTTAGGCTCGGTCAGACGGTTCGAAAAGCAACTGAAAAATTTACACTTGCTTCGAAGGTGGTTTCACTTTCACTGCGGCTATGATATCTTCTGTCTTTTTAAACGGTGACGGCGTTCGAGATAAGCTCTTCGAAAACTGAAACATTGCGAAGAATGAATATGAAGAGATACGAAATTGAAAGTACATTCGAATCGGAGACAGTAATCGACTTACTCTGTGTCTAGTTACAGGCAGAGTTGTAGGCTGAAGTTTCTTCGGAGAAACGCTGGGATCTGGTTTTTTGACGGACGCGGTTTCAGGTTTCTTTACCTCTTTCTCCGGGCGTTTGATCGGCTCTTCTTTGACGGTCTTCTCTTTCTCTTTACGTTTGTCATCCGTGTGCTCTCGCTTCTCTTGAGACGATTTCCGCTCAAGCGATTTTCTGCGCACAGACAAAGAATGTATTCATCAGAAAATGTCAAGAACCTCTGTTATACAGCTAAGCAGGAAACAGAACATAGCTGCGTTTACGCTCCGACAATCGTAAGGTCTGTAACAAAACGTGAAAGTACGAGGATAACCTCTTCACTCACCTGATCGCTTCATCCTCATTGCTAGAGGAACTACTTTCGCTACTTTCCGAGCTACTCGACTTAGACCTTCCGTTTCGCAATTCTTTTCGCGATCCCGTATCAGTTGATTTTTTAATTTTTTCGTCCACCTTCTTGTCCTTCGTCTTGTCCTTAGCGTCCCGTGAACGATCGGGAGATCGTTTCTCATCCCTCGAACGATCCACTGATGATCTGTGATCTTTCGATCTTGATCTACGATCCCTAGATCTAGATCTTCGATCTCTATCCCTTCTGTCCCTGTCTCTGGAACGGTCCCGCCTACTCGATCTGTCGCGCGAGGAAGATCTATCGTACCTGAGGGATCGATCCCGGCCGTCTGGTGAACGACGTCTGCTGTCACGACGATCCGGGGATCGACGCCTGTCTCGCCTCTCCGATGATCTTCGTCTACGATCCAGAGATCTTCTTCTGCGTCTATCACCAGGGCTAGGCGATCTTCGTCGATATCTTGCTGGACTTCGACGTGGTGGGCTTCTGGAGCAATTCAATCGTATTAACGATACTCGTTCATTCTCGCTTGTAAATTACAGCATTGCTCATAGTTAAGGTTACCTTCTTCTACTGGGTGCTCGACGCACAGACGGAGGCCGCATACTACGGCTGCCACTGTATCTGTCTAGTCTGTCCCGCTCCCTTTCCCGTTCCCGTTCTCGTCGTCTCTCTCGTTCTCTGTCGATGGATCTCCTAAATCAGATATTCCCTATTGTTAGTACTGATAATGAAACAAGTAAAAACTGTTATATAATAATAATAATTATTATTATTCACCTCCTGTTCCTATCTCGAGATCGATCGCGTGATCTGTCACGAGATCTATCCCGTGATCTGTCCCGAGACCTATCTCTGTCCTTGGATCGACCTCTGTCCTTCCGCGGGGTAGGGCTTCTTCGCTTAGGCACTGATTTCCTCTCACGACTCGAGTCGCTTTCGCTACCGCTGTCGTCTTTATTCGTCTTTCTGTACGATCTCTTAGCCTGCACTCCATTCTTCTTCTTTCGAATCTCGAAATCGTTCTTATCCTTCGCGCCTTTGTCTTCTTCCGACTCGGAGGTGCTGCTTGTACTAGCGTCTCGTTTCCTGTTGGAGTCGAGATTATCCTTCCTCTTGTCGGGCGATTTCGACCGAGACTTCGACGATCTGGAGTCGCTCGAGTCGGACCTCGACTTTCTGGATTTACTTCTGTCGTTGCTCTTGGACCTCGACTTCTTCGATCGCGAACGCGATCTTGATCGTGATCTCGGCGACTTCGACTTTGTTCGCCTAGACTTCGAGCGATCCTGCGATCTGGACTTCGATCTTCTGGATTTTGATCTGGATCTGGATCGTCTGGATCTCGACTTTGAGCGAGATCGCCTCGACTTGGACGCTGGCGATCTGGAACGTCTGGTCTTCGAGTCTCTGCTAGGCGATTTGGATCTGGACTTTTTGGAACGGCTTACTGGGGACTTAGATCTGGATCTGGACTTCTTCGCTTTCTCCAGCGACTCGGGAGACGGAGTACGATTGTTCTTCTTCTTTCCATCGGCGATGCTCATTAACTTAGCTTGTAATCGGGATATCGCGACGGCAGCTTCCCTGTTGACACACCTTCATAAATAATCTTTAATTGTGTCGCGTGACGAGACGCGAGCACTTACGGTTTCGTCTTCACAGGCATTAATGGTATAGCATTTTCCGGTTGAGGTGAATCCTCCCGTTCAACTTTAACCTCCGGCATGTCCTTCCCGTTGTCCTTCAAGGAGTTTTTGCTAGGCGACCTTGAAGACGAGCGACGCTTGCGACTGGATCTATCGCGGTCCCTGTGCCGATCTCTCGATCGACTCCTTTTGCTTCTGCGAACAACGATTAAGTCTTAAAATGGTTCATACCATTAAGGTGTTTAATCAACTCGACAAACCTACCTATCTCTGTCACGGTCTCTGCTTCTGTCCCTTCTTCGCTCCTTGGAGGAGCCACGTTCTTTGTCTTCTTTCTTTATCTTGTTTTCCGCTTCATCCTTTTCTTTCTCCCTCTCTTTCTCCTTCTCCTTCTCTGCCAGTGAAGCTTGAAGCTTCTCTTGCTCCTCCTAATTCGATATGTTCAGAGACACGATTAACAGAGAAATCGAAAACTGAACCTTCCACTCAAAAAATAAATTCATTGAATTGAACATTCCGCTGAATGTGAAAATTTAGCTATTCAACTGTTTAGGTATTCACAGACTAGTTCATGCGATAAAAAAGGGAAACTGTGGAAAACGTATAAGAATGAAGATTGATAATCACCAAACGTTTTTTAATTTGATCTTTTTTCTGCTGTAAGAAAGCCAGCGGAATACCCGTCACACTTTCTTGAGCGGAGACCAAAAGGTCCCATAATTCACCCATGAAAGATCGGGCATTTCTACCATTGAGGAAACCTGTGAGGTTGATCTGCATTTTTCGGGGATCCGGGAACTGTAAAATACATAGTAGACCAATGTCATCCGATGTTACTTTCAACAACTGAGCAATGGACGTTCGAGATTCTACTGAATTACAACGCAAACAGTCGCAATCGTGACAATGTCCACCTCCCTATGTTGTTACTAACTGCTTTTCCCCCTCGAATCTTACCGCCAACAGTAAACAGCTCGTTTCACGTCTGCGCTAACAACTGATACGTTAAGAAAAAAAAGAATATTACACTCATCGATAAACGCACAAATAGCACAGATACATTTGATACCTTCTCAAGTCAAAAATATTGCCAAAGCAGAGATGCTGAAAATGGGAATCGTAAATACACGTTGTGTTAACTGAAAAGTAAAAGGATTGATAGAAGGAACACCGTTCCACCAACCTGTGACGTTGACAAAGAGTGTCAAACCAAGTAGAGATACCTCCAGGGCGTCGTCCGCGACTCAATCGCGTCTTGGTGTGATGGCAAGACGGCGAACAGACCTGCAAGATCCTCGATTCTTCGGGTTGTCGGGGAAGATGCGTAGAACGAAGAAATCTGCGTCCTGGACGATCCGGCAGTGTCGATGTCCTTGATACGTTGACCATGGCGGCCGCATTATGCCCAGCACCGGGTGATGTCTCATTGGCCGAGTTCGGAAGGCAGGCAGCTATTCGATGTTTGAAAGCTGTGACACAGCTATCGCAGTTGCAGCATCGGGATGCAACTACCTCGAACGAGGCAGCCACATGTGCAGGTGAAGACATCAGCCAGTGCAGCTAGTAGACGGTGCATTACAGCAACGAAGACATCTGTAGAATCGTAGAAGACCTCGGGCAGAGCTCCGTATAAGGACGAGAAGAGCAGGAACAGCTCGATGCGACGAGAATATTATTGTGAGTACGCCAGGTTCTCCGGTGACGATGACAATCGATCGATCCGATGCTGACGAATGATGAACTGCTGAGGCTGAAGTTTCAGCAGTGGTTCTAAGACGATGTTGATGATATACCAGCTCGACATCGGCTAGCGTTGGACGGCTGATAGAAAGGCGGCCAATCGGATGTAGAGAGGAGCACATCCGAATGCCATTTGGACAATAGGGTTGAGCCCCACCAACGGTCTCTACTTATACTAACGGGGAATTCAAACATACGTGATAAAAACTTGTTTGTACATGGCACAGTGTTGCAGGATCAGCTACATCAGTTTTTCTTTTGTTGATATAGGATATTTTGCTCGGATCGGATATTCGGGAGAAATAAAAACTGGGATACACAGGATGTATATATATACATACATATGTATATGTGCATATATATATGTATATATACATACAGGAACGATGATACTTTATCAGAATTTAAGAAACAAAAAACAATGAGGCAAGTATGACTAATATGGTATCTGCCTCCTTGCTTTTCACCTCCAAAATTAGCACATTGTGCAGATTTTGGATGATAGTATATTTTGTAACTGGTACAAAACTTTGTGCTGAAATAATGTGTATTTATCGATTTCCTATGATGAGGGGAAAAAGCCAAGTGAACGCATTTTTATACTTTATTCGATTAATCTACCTTTTCATTCTAATTCTAATGAAGTGTGAAATGAAACAAGTTTCTTACCTTTTCTTCCAGTTGATTATATACAAATTCTACCACTACGTCGTCCTCCATCCCCAGAATTTGTGTGATTTTCGTTGTGATCCATGGTTTAATAACGTCAAGTTTGACTTTGCTCATATCCACCTAAAAGAGATAAAGTGCATGGTACGAACCAGAAATCAACAACGAATAATAATGCAATCATGATAAATATTTACCTTTTGTGTCAAAGAGTCTCCAAACTTCATTTGCTTCAGAAGTTTTTTCTCTTTGTCACTGAACCTCGTGTCCTGCGACGCAGTAGTCCCCTAGATTCAGAAATTACCGAATTCCCAATATATGAAATGATTCTACTAAAATACTGTAAGATCGAACGACATTTTTATAAACAGAATCAGCTAATTTACCGTGTACATCATCTTGGCAACGTGTAGAAACCAAAAGCTGCACGATATTTGATGCTCGAACCTGGCGGCGTTCCAATTCCGCTCTCAAACGTTGAAGAATGGCTGCTCCAATAAATACGTTGTTAGATGTTGCGCGTTTTATTTTCTACAAAGCACGGACACAATTGCGTATATACAAATATCAAGAGTTACAATTAAGCGTGGACAGACGCGGACGCACGATAGATCAATCCACCAACATGGCGACCTCGTCGTTAAATTGGTACATTGAAGTTGCCTACCAGTGAACAGGGCTGCCACTATTCACAGGGTTGTCAATAGTTGTATAAATGGCAGTCTTTCAATATTATCAATTTCCTTACAAATGTATCACTATTACGCATCAATCGACATCAGTAGAATTTAAACTTTGAAACATACTTTGCAATGAATCATTTATTACACTTTCCAGTGAGTATTAAAAGTTACTGACAGCGCCATCCACTAACAATGACACGAACTGATTTGCCTAGTACACAACTTATGAGATATTACACATCTTAAGTCTATGACTACTACTTTTATAATTCAAAAAACTAGGGCAGATTTCTCGTAACATTTTCATGCTAATTTTGCTTACATTTGAGTCCTAATTAATGAATTATTTCAATACCTTTATTACTGCGTATGAGGAATCCAAAGAATAAGATAAGGAGAGTGCGACAGAGACAGAGACACAAGTCTGTTCGCCATCTATTGCAAAAAGATCCAAACTGCTAGTCATTTAATACCATATTTCCATCACTAGATGACGCAACATAATATCTCCGTCCTCATCACACCTGCATATCCTTTCTCATCCTACTCAATGCTAATCTCAAGAAATCCTTAACCCATTCAAACATCACTGACAACTTATTAATTACAGCTCAAATGTAACCAAAACTGATCCATCAAACTTTTTAAATATCCACCCTAATTTTTTTAATCCTGAAAGTTCACGAATTGCGTTTATAAAGGTGGAAAATTAATCATTTACTCGGGACTTGTCAACAAATTCCAAGTCGTAGAAGCGTGATGTAAAAAATCGTTAATAAAAAATTCACGCGAAAGAAAATCCTATAAAAAGTAATATGAAAAGGTAACTGAAGGTCTATTCCACATTCTCCATTCGCAAATGTTAATGAGCCGTTAGTGAGAGTAGAGATATCAATGAATTTTTTATCGATTTCACTGTCCGTTCGGGCGGCCATTTTCTGTCTCTCTCTCGCACACATACAATCATATGTTCGTCCTTGTCGGATGCCTCCTTCGTCCTGATGCTTCACGCGTACGTACCAGGGACTGATGAGATGCTTTTTCGAAGGAGATGGCACGAGAGAGACTATCTCTGTCTTTGTCGCACACTAGCTCTGTCCTTGTCTTACTCGTTGCGAGAATAGGGAGAAACTCCGCAAAATATTCACCGCTAGATGGCGTGTCAATTTTTTTCCTTGAATTTGATTGTAGATGGCATTGTGAATATGTTTATGTAAATAATGATTAGCAGATAGGGGAATAATAATTGTTAATTAAAAGCACTCGTGTCCAGTCAAGAGAAAAGTTTTCAAATTTTCTAAGATATTTATTGTATCGTTGTTCAGAGAGTATTGTATTTTCCTCTTGCGAGTTGCACCATATATATGAATATACTGAAATAATATTTTGTGATCTGTCAGTGTAATCATAATACTGATTATTTAAGTACTACTGACATGTTTCTATGCATGTAGTGTAACAGTAATGGTATAGTGTTAAAGTATTCATCCAAGCAACATAATAATCTACAATATTTACATAAGTGTAATATTGTTGGCTTTGTAAAATGATAGATGTTAAGAATGTTGCAAGCGATTCTCAGGATATTAATCATGAGTCAGGAATCCATGCTGACAGCACGGGAACAATATCATCAACACCGTCATCATCGTCTGAATATATGACAGGGGAAGCAGATGATAGTTCGGATAGTAAAGGAGCTATACCTTTTACTTTAAAGTCAGTGGAGACCATACTTTCATTATCCAAGGTATTATGTTTACATATATTTTTGATGTGACTTTTAATCATCCTTATTACTTACATTGTTATGTTTATAGGCAACATGTGAAGAAGATCTTAAAGAAATGGTAGAGAAGTGTAAGCAAATGGTATTAGAAAGTGCAGAGTGTTCAGACGAACGAAAATGGCTTGTCAGACGTTTGATTGAATTACGTTTGAGGGTACAAGAATTAAGGGAAACATCAGAAGAAAATTTGTTGGAAACACAAGTAATTTTAGGACATCACTTGATACCACAAAAGTACCATATAACAACTTCTGGACCTGTGTATTGTGATCATTGCAGTGGTGCAATATGGACTATGCTTCAGTCATGGTACATGTGCAATGGTAAGACATTTTTAATGAGATATTATCATACATGTATTCAAGAAAATGTTACACCTAAATTACATTTTTACAGATTGCAAATTCAGTTGTCATTGGAAATGTTTAAATAGTATATGCAGAGTCTGTGTCCACGTTGTTGCTAGTGAGGCAGGTGGATATACCTACACAAAAGATATCTGCCCTGAACAAGGCCTGTCAAACCAAGGCTATCGATGTGCTGAGTGCAAAGTGAAAATAACATTCAGTAAGTATGAGTAAGAAATTAATATTCCTTGAAAAAGCAATATATTGTATGTGTTCTTTCTATTTGACAATGATTCACTGTTTACCTTGTTCATATATAAAGAGATTCCTCTTATCGCATAGTTAAACTATATTTCCATTGCAAGCTTTCTCAAAAGGATTATCCTTATCTTGTTTTGGCAGTCCATTCAAGAGTACAGGTAACACACAAGAGGTGGAAGCAAATTTTTATTGATATTCTTTGTTGAATTTAATTAGTTATATTATTAATCAAACAATAATGTGAAACACTACATATGTTATAATATTTTATTTGTAAATCAGAATCAGTGTGGATAGAACCACGACTTTGCGACTATAGTGGACTGTATTACTGTCAGAGATGCCATTGGAATACTGCAATGGTAATTCCTGCCAGAGTAATAAGAAATTGGGACATGGAACCGCGATTAGTATCTCGCGCCGCGACTCAGCTATTAACTCTTTTAGAAGATCGCTCCGTTTTACCTCTGGAAGAATTAAACCCAAAATTATTCACTTTAGTTCCAGACCTGTCCTTAGTAAAGGTAAAAAGTATATGTACGCGCAGAAAGCGACAGAACAAGAAATAAGTGACAAACTTAATTGTCAATAGAAATTACGCGAGGAAATGCAGATGATGAAGCGCTACTTGGTTCTATGTCCGGACGCAAACCTCGAGGGGCTGCCATGGAAAATTGGTATACGTACTCACATGATTGAGAATTCGGGGAATTATTCCATAAAAGATCTCATCGATCTTAACAATGGCACTCTTCTGGAAGAAGTTCGCGCTGCGCATGATACTATGCACGCTCATATCACTGAACACTGTCAGTTGTGCAAAGCACGGTAATTTCGTTACGTTTAAGAATACCATTACCATTAATAATGCGTTTCGTAATTAAACCATTAAGTGCAATTATATCTTTAGAGGCCATCTGTGCGAATTGTGTGGTAATGATGAAATTATATACCCATGGGATGCGAATTCTATAATTTGCCATCAATGCGCGGCTGTTCATCATCGTGTCTGTTGGTCGAAGCGAAATCATTACTGTCCGCGGTGCACGAGACTTCAGAAACGTCGTGCGATGCAGGATCAGCATACTTCGGATACAGATGAATCTATCGCGGAAGAGGCTGTGACGCTGGAGCTGCAAGGCTCGACGAAATAATCCTGAGTCCATCGAGAATGATTAATTCATTCGTTCATTATAACGCTACCGAGAAATTGCAAACCAGCCATTCTAAATGCCTGGTATTGCTAATGCTAAACGTGAACTGTAAACTGTGTATACGTACGATTATTGCGATATTATACGTTCACTATCTGCATGCAACGGCGAGGTTATTGTTTTGTAAAATAAAGTTGAGCCATAACTCACATTTTATCGCGTAGTTCGGTCATTTCTCACAATTAATTTATTGTTTCTCAAATAAAACCTGTCGATTCTACTTTCTGCAATTCCTTCACATAACTCGGATGACTTTACTGCGTATAGTCGACCATTTGCACAAGTGAAGAATGTTAATAATTCTACGTATTTTACACCGTGCCGACAAATAAAAGTTCGCGGAGCGGTACGAGGATATGCAGTCGCTGCTAACTCGTTTAAGGGAACGTGCTACCGAAATCGTTCAAACGGATACAGGTCCGCGAACTGGAGTTACACTGCAATATCCTTTTGTGTACAAATTATTAAAGAAATTATATATCGTGTACATAGCGCGCAATGATGTCTTGGGTCCGCGTGTATGTTGCGCTACTTTCGCTCCTCGTTTTCCTCGATTTCGGAGGATGCGACGACTCGCAACAGCCGAAGACAACTTACGTGAGTCCTCTCGAGAGATTTGTTCTCGGGATCAAAAACAAGCTCGGCCCAGAATCGATCTCTAATATTCCAATTTTGGGGAATATATACAAAAATCAAAACGGCAGGAGCAACAGTAGCATCGCCAGTGTCTTTAATCCGTACAAAGTCCAGATTAAAGCAATATTTCCAGGTACGTGGCGATACCGAACTCCGTTCAACCCTTTACAGAGGATTCTTTAACCCTTTGAACTCTGTAGGCTCCAATATTGCACCAGTTATAATATTAAATATTTTGAATCAAAGAAACTACTCTAAATTATTAGATTTCGCACACATCCGAATTTTGTACTAAGGAAACTAAAAGATCGAGGAAATGTTATAGGATTTCTCATTTTCGCTAGGAATACTATAAAAATTAGTTGCCGATGGATTACAAAACAACCTGGAGTGCTAAGAGTTAAAATATTCAAGACTAATTAAAATTAATTTGTACATCAAGCTCTTAAATTACGAAAAGAGAACTCTGCACTGATCTCTTGTTATTCGAATAATTCAATCATTTCTTTGCAACTCTGTATTCCAAATACGAAAATTTAAATGGTTGAAACATCGAACAAATTCTTAATAAAATTCATATGAATTTATTTAATCACTACTGAACAGAGTGACGTTACGATTATTGTATTTGCTAAACAGTTAGGATTTGCATACTACACCGAGCGCACGTTATTATTATTCTGTTATTCAATTCTTCTGTGTCATTTTCGTTTTTCCTTCTTGGCAATGTAATTATGTTACGAGTTACGAATATTTCTACAAATACACCTTTAGGAACGTATTGGTGCGGCGACGGCGATATATCTCCGAATGGCAAAGATGTTGGTTTCTTTGAGGGCACGGACACCTGTTGCAAGAATCATGACGGCTGTCGGGACTCCATTGACGCGGGCGACACGAAGTACGGCCTTAAAAATAATGGAGCTTTCACGAGGTAACGACAAATCAAATTCCGTGGTAATTTTTCTGCACGAAAGAACAACGTTAGCTCCGCTATACTTAATATCTTTACGCCAAACAGATCGCACTGCGATTGCGACCAGCAATTATTCGACTGCTTGAAGAACGCGAAATCGATCATAGCTACGGACATCGGCACCACTTATTTCAATGTCTTACGTCCTCAATGCTTCAAACAGGACTATCCTACCATCGGTTGTAAAAAGTATTCAAGGTAACGAATTCCACAACGCCCTCCTCCAAACACAACTTCTTCGAGCGTGCGCTTAAAGGAATTTCAATTTCAGAGGTCAAATCGTCAGCAAAAAATGCGTGGAATATGAATTGGACACCGATAAACCAAAGGAAGTGCAGTGGTTCGATAATCCAAACTTTATCAGTATTTAACAACTTAAACGGTCGGTTCCGAGCAGTAATTTATTGCGATCGTTACGTTTATGTAGATGTAACGTTCGAACGTTATTCAAAGCAACAGTGTACGCGTGAAAAGGATTAGCCGATCCGGGGAAGGTTATAAAATATGTAAAATAAAATATCTAACTACAACCCGCCGAAGGCTTGTCTGTTTCAATTGAAATCAGGAAGTTCGAACGCGTTTTTCGGCGGGATTCCCCGCTTTATAACGTGAGGTATCGTTTTGGGCACCATACTGTAAACACAACATCGAATCGGTTAGAGAAGTATGTCACGTAATCGTGAAAATAAGAACAACACGGAGGAACGATTAAGCAGGAACTTACGTGATGCAATCGATGATGGGGCATACCGACAGGCAAAGCGTGCAACCCGTGCAGTCGTCGGTCACCTTTGGAATGTGAGTATCCGGATCGAAGTGTATCGCTTGGTAGCCGGAATCGGCGCAAGCCATGTAACACTTTCCACAATTTATACACATATCCTGACACATACGAAATAACCAGCGTCAGTGAAGAAGATCAACGAACTCGATTTCCTTTGGTAATCGAAACTTACATCGTCTATCAGCGCTACCACTTGCCGTTTGTTATCCAGCTCTTTAAACGTCCCGATGTGACTCAAAGCTTTGCCGATCACGTCTTTTATACAAGGTATGGGCGCGACCGGTTTCGGGACAGGCCTCGTAGCTGCCACCGGCTGATCGAGCGGATCCGAGTTCGCTTTAATCTCGGCGATCTTCTGCTCGCGCAGCCTTTGATACTCCCCGAAGTAAGGTACATTCTACAGCAGGAATGAGGTATCACGAAACCGATTTCGATTGACAGGGAAATGATACTCACTTTGCCGAGAGCGTGCTGCAGGGAAACCGGTTTTCCCTTTTGGTGCTTAAAGGTCGGCGGACTCTGGCCGTCCCAATCCTTCACCTGTTTCAGGCTCTTTAAGTACAGCAGTGTCTTCAAGCCGGTTACGTAGTCATCGATTAAAGTGAAATCTTGATTTTGTATGGCGCTGCAGACCTAATCAGGTGTTGTCCAATAGGAAAGAGTGTCTATGTAACGGTACTACCGCTCGTTGCAGAGAACCTGGCACTCGTGACGTCATATGGGCGGGGACAGTCGCTCCAGGAACTCCAATCGCGAGTCTGGGAACGGATCCTCAAGTTCTTTGTCGCGTGATTCGACTAGTGTGCGTGAATACCTCAGCGAATCGTATATCAGAATCGAAAATCCGCGTGAGCAAGGCGTGCGCTTTCGAATCTGACCACTCAGACGAGAGTGCCAGGTTCCCTGCAACGTATAAAATTCGAACAGCTCGGCGACTCACCTGCAAAACGGATGCGCCGCAGTGAAGAAACTGAAGAGCCACGTCCGCGGAATCGATGCCGCCGATCCCGAGTATCGGGAACCCTGGGAGAACCTTCGCGATGGAGGACACTGCCCGCAGTGCCTGAGGTCTGGTCGAGTTTCCCGACATGCCCCCGTACGTGGTGGCTTTCTGGATACCAACGGCTGGCCAGGGTGTCCCGTCGGCGTATAAGCCCATCAAGCCTTGCACGGTGTTTATCGCGGACACGCCGTCGGCTTGGCCTGAAGCAAAGCGTTTCGACATTCTCGATACCTTCTTTTTACTGTTGTTACAAAGATAGATAATTCTCGGAGGAATTACTGAATCGTGAATCAATAAAAATGTCAATACACCGGTACCAAGCATTTGATTGAACAGAAACAAACTCGAACGGTACCTTCGTAGGCCGCTTTCGCGATGGAGACGATATCGGTAATGTTCGGCGTCAATTTCACGAAGAACGGTATTTTAACAGCTTCGCGCAGCCACCTGGAAATGTTTCTCACCAATTCAGGATCCTGAAACGCGACGACGGCCGTGATAGTGTTCGACGGAATGGAAATACAATTTACGATTATAATTATACTTGTCCGCAAGCTAGTCCCATCCCCGACTCTCCCATTCCATGTGGGCACGACAGATTCAATTCCAGGGCGTCAGACCCAGCTGCTTCAGCCATTTGGGCGAGCTCCGTCCAATCCGCTTTGTTATATGTACACATGATGCTAGCTATGACGATCTGTCAATGAACAGACTCTATCATTACGAGGACTAGTCCGAAAGCTTCGAGCTAATCGAAGGAACCATTGCATGTTACTTTCGAACCTTCGTCGGGAAGTCTCTCTTCAATTCCGTGATACTCTGGCACCAGTAGGCCGCCGATTTCTCGGATATCAGCTCGATATTCAGGAAACTGCCTTGCTCGGGGCCGTAATGATGCCTCGAAGTGGTGCCTTTAATTATCCTCGGCGACACGTTCGTGACGAGGTCCTGGAAAATCGTATCGTCGGGATATCTCGGAGGGAAACCATTCGTTTCTACGATGAACAGCTCTTACCTTATCCAGGGAGAATGTCTTCGTGACGACGAAACCCCAGCCTGCCTCGAAGGCTCGTCTGATCATGGCGGTCGAGGTGCAAGGCGGCGCGGAGGCGAGGCCGAAAGGATTTTCGAACTTCATCCCGCACATCTCGACCGACAGGTCGACGTCGTCGATCGGAGTATGGAATTTCGGTAGCTGAGGAGTCTCAGGCACCTCCAGACCGTTAGCATTCTAAAGGTAAATCAACGGTGTTATCGGTTTGCGCGTTGAAACGAGTGAAAACTGCGGTCGAAAATGTTGGCACTCTGTTGCATCGACGGCATTTAATTCGGTTATAGCGAAAATTGTTAACGCTAGATTTACGAAACCTAGTGTTAAAGAAAGTAGGCATTGTCGGAACTGTAACCTGAATGAACTTGTGAAGATACCAAGCCGCCGTCTTGCCATCGTTGACAGACTCGACGGTGGTCTGCGCGGTGCCGGCCAGGTCTCCGCCGCAGAAGACGCCGGGCACGGACGTGCTCATAGTCTCCGCGTCCACTTCCGGTAAGTTCCATTTGTTCATCTTAACGGGCGCCATTGCTCTCACCACTGAGACAGAAAGATCCCATGGAACTTACTCCAGAAGGAGTTCTCGACTACAATCTGTACCGTGCGCTCACCGCTAGGATCTTGCAGCCCCGACCCAAAAGCCGACACGATGAAATCCGCTTTCAGCCGGCAGACTTGCTCCTCGTCCTCCAGCCAGTCGCCGTTCTCCGTCTCCTCCGTTCGACAGAGCTCTATCGCAGTTATTCTCCCGTTGCGAGTGATCACTCGCTTCGGCGATTGGAAGGGAACGAACTCGCACTTCTCTACTCTCGCCAAGTCGAACTGAGCACAGACGAAGAGGTCAACGTACCGTCGTGAAACCGCGCGGCTTTAGAAAATGATCACCACCTCTTCAGGGACCGCTCGGATATTCGTGAACCCTTTCCTGAACACGACGTAAACCTTCTTGGCGCCGCAGCGCAGAGCGGAAGTGGCGCAATCGAAGGCCGTGTCGCCAGCCCCGAGGACGACGACGGTTCCGTGGAGAGAAGGCAGCTGGGAGCTCTTGCACGCGCACATTCCCGGCTTGCTGGCCTTCGCCACTCTCGGCAGGAAGCTCTTCGACGTGTAGAATCCCATTTCCTCGGTGAGATCCGCGAAAATCGGGATGGTGTTCGCTTCCGGCAGACCGATTCCCAGGAAGATGGCTTTGTAGCCTTCATCTTGCAGACCCTAAAAGGATTTCGATGCATAAAAGATCCTCGTACAATATTCCAGTACAATTGAAGAAGTCTATACCTGTATACTCAAATCGTTTTCCGAGAGTGCTCTGCTTAGTTCGATCTTCACGCCTAAGTCTCTCGCTAAATCGACTTCGAAGTTGACGACGTCGTACGGCAGACGGTACTGCGGGATTTCCGAGGAACTCAACCCGCCGATGTAAGACTGCTTCTCGAAGATCGTGATGTCATTGTAACCTAAACGCGCGAGGAACGTGGCGCAGGACAGAGAGGCCGGGCCACAGCCGATCAGCGCGATCTTCGTGTCCGCGTGCGGAACCGTTTGCCCGGGGATCCTCGTCTGCGGTATGCGCATCTGCTTGAAGATCTGTGGGACCGCGTGGAAGATTGTAATCTATTCGCGCGGGGAAACTAGAGCGAGGCATCGTTAAACGCCTTACGTCCGTGGCGAACTGCTGGAGACCGCCGATGTTAATGGGCCCCTCCTCGGACGCGTGCAGGTTGCACCCGCCGACGCATAGATCGCTGGTCGGGCAGACCATGCCGCACGTCAGGCCCAGGGGATTGTCGGAGAGGATCGCCTTCGCGGCGCCATAGTAATTCTTATTCGATATCGAGGTGATGAAGGATTTGACGTCCAACTGCGTGGGACAAGACTTTTGGCAAGGCGCGTCGGTGCATTTCAGGCAACGCGCCGCTTCTTTCAGCGCGCCGCGCTCGCTCAGCGTGGTATGCTTGATGTCGTCGAAGTTCTTCGTCAGCGGCGGGCATCTCTGCAAGAAAATACTGCGCTGTACCGATGATGCGCCGCGACGCGTGCGAAATGAGCGATCAGCGGGTTCTCGGAAGATTCTAATCGCGATCGCGAACTTGATACACGATCTTACGCTGCATTTCTCGTTGACGTTCCTCTTCCACTTCCTTTTGTTCTCCTTTGTGTACACCGAGGGGACCAAGTTCGCGTACGGCTTGATCTTTGGATTCAGAGACAGCAGGTTCTGTGGAAAAGTTTGTCGATCAGATTAAACGGCGGTCCTCGATAGGTCTTTAACAAGTTCGGATCTGTTACTCGCCTCGATATCGGCCACGTCTTTGCTGAGCACCGTTGCCGCTGCCATATCTTCCTCGGCGAGATCGAAATCGACGTAGTTGAAAGTCCGATCGCGAGGAATTCGTAAACAATTCCGGATATTTCGGATAGTCGCTGCGCGTGACGGCTGAAGCAACTCGCTTCGAGCTATCGTGGACGACGAGTGACGTCCTCGGCTGTATAGTTCCGAGCGGAGAAACTAAGAACGCCCCGCTCGTGTGAGTAATTAACACGAACGAACTTTTACATCGAGCGTCGCGATAAGCGCGTCATTTTTGCGTGGTGTGGGTCACGCGGCTCGCGGAGAGGGGGCGGATAAGCGACGACTAGCATCCCCTCCATCTGTCACGCGCGCACGCCAAGTTTCTATTAATTTTTCCATCGTAATCGCTCTGTAATGATCTTGTAAACGGTCCGTGTGAAACGAAAGAAAGAAATTTATCAGGCACGAACTACATTCGAAGAAACCAAGTCAATATCGTTCATCCCTGATAGAACTTATCGCCGATACGGATCTGTGATACTGTTAGATGGTACGTTTCCGATAAACGTAACGAGAACAGCGCGTATCGGTCTCGTTGCCGATGATTTAAATAAATTGCGTTCCGCGCGTCGTACTTAGAATTGAATTAACGCACACGCGCCACGCTTGAAAATATGAATTAAACTCGACGACCTTCAACCGGAACGTCTGCCGATATGCTTGACACTGCAAAATTCATCTGCAACAGCTTATCGCGCATCGATTCGACGTTAAACTTTCATATCAATGCATTTCCTGTAATCGAAGATAAACGCACGCTGCCGGAGCAGTATCTGTGAAGCAACGTTTGATTAAACGCGGTTGCAAGGGGACAGCCGGCGTAATTACAGAATACAAGGAAGTCGTTCTGTAATCTTGAGACCCCTAAACCGGGGTCCCGTAATTCCAGGGGAAACTGAGACTATCGAAGGTCTAACTGGTACTTAACATTGAATTCTGGTTCGCTGTCACGAGATATCAGTGTCGAACTGTATTAGGGTAGAAATAACATCCCCGAAGGGATGGACGAGTTCGAAATGGATGAATCGAAGCGGAGGCACATAGCACCCAACAAGCACTTGAACAATAGCTTGTCGGTGCTTTATTACATGGGCATGTGGCCCGAGCAGAGCAGATACCGCTACCTGTACTCCGTGTACACCATTTTCAGCGGCGTTTTTCTGTTAGGTATTTTCCTCACGACTGAAATCGCGTATTTCATCGTGAACTGGAATGACATGGCGAAGGTAGCTGCGATTTCTACGGTTCTTATGACTAATGCTACTCACGCTTCTAAGGTCTGTACTAGACGGTAATATGAAATGATTATGATTTAGAGAATTGGTTCTGATTGATTCAAGATTGAACGCGGAACGGGAAGCTTTTGTTTGTTTGTTCTATTTTGAATTTTTGAGTATAGAAGATCGGTAAATATTTGTATTTTGAAACTACTCCACATGGACAGGGAGACACTAGAACACCGTGCGATGGTGGTGTAATGGTTAGCATAGTTGCCTTCCAAGCAGTTGATCCGGGTTCGATTCCCGGCCATCGCACATGATTATTTTTTGTCTAGTTTTTAATGATACTTCAAAGTATCTTATAATATTAACCCTTTGCACTCGAGAATATTTTTCGCAACGAATATTCCTTATTTTCTGATGAAATATCAATGGTAATTTTCACAATTATTTTATTTCAATGTTCCGTGTGTTGATAGATCATAGAAAATTTAATACTGAATTTTAAATTTTATCATTTCGTTGGGATAAATCAAGTGGCGAGTGAAAGGGTTAAATACGAATAATCTCATGATTTCATTTAGGTAATTATTCTTGTCTATCGGCATAGTCGCATACGAGATCTGGTGAACGTGACGAGGAGCGAGATGTTTAATCGGGACAATGTAAAGTATGAACGAATCGTAACGCATTACACCTGGCAAGGAATATTTCATCACATCGCGTATCAAACGTTCGGTGCGCTAGCTGTAACTGTATGGGGGATCACACCGGTCCTCGATTACCTTACCGGAGGATCGAAGCATTACCCCGTAGAAGGATTGTACCCTTATAACGTAACGGCAACGCCAGCCTTCGAGATTACTTGTTCGTATCAAGCAGTAGCAATTATTTTATGTTGTCTGAACAATGTAGCGATAGACACGCTGATAACGGGCCTTATCACGATCGCCTGTTGCCAATTGACGATTTTAAATCGTAACATTTCATCTCTGAATATCAAAACAGATCAACAATTGATTACTTTGAAAGGTGACGCTAATCCTGGGAAATTTGCTACGCAACTTGACAACGAATCGTATAAAAATTTGAAAATCTGTATCAAACATAGTAATATGATATTCGAGTGAGTTCTGAAATAGAAAAATACGATTCTGCGAACGCTGTTTTATGGAATCTATAGTACAATTACATCTAATATTTTTAGTTTCTCAAGAGAAATACAAAATATTTTTGGTACCGCAATATTCTTCCAGTTTTTAGTGAATTGTATTATTATCTGCTTAATAGCGTTCAATATGGCTCAGGTATATACTGTAAAGTACTTATTTTTAGAATTTTCGAACGAGCTCAAGTGTATTCTGCATTTATTGTATCCACAGATGAAAGTTTATATTCCACATATTCTTTTTGGTATGCTAATGTATATGTGCTGTATGACGTATCAAATTTTTATATATTGTTGGCACGGTAATGAGTTGTATCTTCATGTAGGTAATTACTGAAAATTGGTTTTCTATTTAAAAAGAAAGCAATTTCTATTCAAATATTGCTTCTGCAGAGCTTAGACATGATTCTTGCCGCGTACTCGAACGAATGGTGGCAAAAAACGGAGAATTTTAAACGAGCCATACAAATTATAATGACAAGGGCACAACGGCCTCTGATCTTATCCGCTGGAAATATTATGGATATCTCGTTGCAAAATTTTGTTCGCGTAAGTATCGTATCCGTAGTGTTTCAAACATTTTTAAACTCGTTCACATTATTTTGCAGATTCTACGCATGTCATATTCAATTTTTACTGTTTTACAAACTTCGACGAACTCTTGAGTTGTTATATGCTTAAAAAACTTCCCTGTAGAAAGTTCATAAAAACAATATATTTTTGTGAAATAGAATAACAACATTACATTTTTTTAACATTGTATATAAAAGATAGAAATATATTTTTTAACGTACTTCTTATTGTGTAATGCGTATCAAAAATATAAACAATAACGCAGTTTTCATACTGTATGTCTGCGTCGGAGTAAATGAATTTAATTGCACAATTCATATTTTTTGGCCCTATTTATCATGATTAAAGAGCTTCCACCATTAAGGCTATTCCTTGACCACCGCCAATGCAAGCAGAGCCAATTCCTAATTTTCCGCCTTTTCGTCTTCTACAAATTTTTATAATGAAAGTCGTAATTGCTATGAAACATTGTAAAATATATTATATATAAATATAAGTGTACCTGAGCTCGTGTACCAAATGTGCAGTAATTCTACTACCAGATGCACCTAATGGATGTCCAAGAGCAATAGCACCACCATCCACATTTAATTTATTAATGTCCAAGTTTAGATCTTTAGCGCAAGATAATACTTGAGCTCCAAACGCTTCGTTAATCTAGCAACACAATGAATTTAATTAATTAAAGCCTTAACATTTATATCGATAAATAAATATGTAAAACACATGTTAAAAATGTTACTTCAACAAGTTCCACGTCATCAAGCGTTTTGTTCGTGATTTTAAGAAGTTGTCTAATAGCTGGAGAAGGGCCAAATCCCATAATGCTCGGATCTACGCCAACAATTGAGTAACCTATTAAACGCGCGAGTGGTTTAAGTCCTTCTGTTTTAACGGCTTCTTCGCTAGCTAAAATGACAGCTCCTGCGCCATCGCAAATACCCTGTAAAATATATTTACGTATTTAAATAGTAAAAAATATAATTATAAGTTTGCAACTCATTTAAATATAATACTACATACAGATGCCGAACCTGCTGTAACCAGACCATCTTTCTTGAAAACAGGCGACAACTTAGCTAGACTTTCAACAGTCGTTTTAGGACGTGGATGCTCATCTGTATCAACAAGAACTTCCTGTTTCTTTGTCTTTACTGTTACAGGTGCAATTTCTTCTTTGAAACGACCGGCGTCGTTAGCTGAAACGTTAAAAATATTTTTCTGAACTCCTTTACTTGGTACCCAGATAGTGTAATAAATCTAGATCTAAAAAGTGATATGTATTAACCAGCTTTCCACAGTTGTTGACTTCTTAAAGCAAATGCATCTACTTCTTCTCTTTTCAAACCAAACTGTGCTCCAAGCTTTTCTGCAGTCATGCCCATGGGTAAATTACAATAAGTATCTAATAATCCAAGCCACAGAGAATCTTCAAACTCATATTTTTGCCCCAAAACAGTACCAAAACGAACATTCCTTACTATAAAAGGAGATTGGCTCATATTATCTGCACCTCCTGTTAAAACCACTTTAGACTCTCCTGTTAGAATACTCTGAAAGTAATTTATAGACATTTTTTGTGTAAAAATTTACCAGTTCACTGTTTTCTTAACAGTCCTATGTAAAATAGATTTTATACCTGTGCCCCAGATACTATTGACTGAAATCCAGAACCACATAATCTGTTGACTGCAAAGGCTGGTTTCTCTATAGGAACTCCAGACTTCAATGCTGTATGCCTTGCCAGAAAACCTCCATCACTGGATGACATCTTTAAATGAATGATTACACGGATAATGGAATAAAGAAATACTTGATTATTCATAAAAAAATGGTAAACCTTTTACTTATAAAAATTATTTACGTACAGATAATACATGGCCAAATACAACACTATCAACTTTTTCTGGTTTCAATCCTGCAGATTGTAAAGCAGAAGTTGCAGCAACCACTGATAACTCAGTTGCACTTTTATTGGTAAATACACCACCCATTGTGCCAAATGGAGTGCGTTTTGCACCAACAATGAAAATACCTGTAAAAAAATGTATGCATACATTATTTTTAATATTGTGAAAATAATTGTTTTCTAGTGTTTTATAAAAAAAGATTAATTTCATTTATATGTCATCCAATTCTTTTATATCATATTTATTGAATGAGAATCACTGGCATGATCACTTAAATTCTCAGTAGGTACAAAGATCAAAAACAACACTTTCAATGCCTCTGTAAACATAAGACGATAAATATATTAGACGAAGAAAAAAAATATAACTTCGAAGTTCGAAACAATTAAATTTCTAGGTTACAATAAATATGCTGTAAACTTAACACTGCTATAAATACCAATGCAATGAACATTTGCAATTTAAAATCGCACCTAATCATATTTGCATTCTGAAATATTTTAAGACACTTTCGAAGTTAGATTTGCACTTAAAATATTTCATAGTTCTGTTAAATACTTGTCAATTTTTAAAAATTTAATAATACATTCTTAACTTTCGAAATAGTTTAATTTATTTAAATCTGAACCGTAGAAGAAATATTTATTCGATATACATACAATATGTTAAGTAAAATCGGCGAAATTGAAAGTTTTCGAGAAGAATCACAGAGGAATACATACCTTTCGTTGTAATAGACATTGTGATAGCGAAATTTATATTACAATAACGGAACTCAAACAATTAAAAAGGTTCCAAAACGCAGCACGCTGTAATACTAAGCTTTTATGCTCGCCGAGTGCATTTTATATAGCACCGTGCTAAATGGCATGTAGTTATCTGGTAGAAAGGAAGGGGAGTAATTCTGGTGACGTTCTGTTTACCCCAATATAGGAGCATGAGTTTCACATTTATCATAAAAGTTGCTCGTAACTCATAGATTACAACAAATAAATGTAAAAAAATTCAACGTTACTTTTGAATAAAATGTTTTATTTCTTTCTCTTTTTGTTGCAACATTGTAGAGTATTTCATATAACACATATAATACTTCTATTCTGGAAATCTGAGAAATTAAACAATACAAAAAACATAAAGTTATAATATAAAGATTACTTATTATCTATGTAATTGTAGGTTCACGATATTATATATAAACGTACTATACAATTGCACGTTTAAATATTTTCCACGTTCCCTTGGAATTACTAGGTTTGTATCACAGGTTGATTGTTCAGTATTGTTGAGCTGTTTGAGCATCCAGTATCTTTACTTCGAGTTCCCTTTATTCGTGGATTTACTGTTCATTTACGATTATTAAAGATCGCTCAACAATATAATAAAATTTATTTAATTATTTAAAGCCTAAATCAGATATTCATGTGTAAACGAAAAATCAGAAAAGGCATAGCACTTCTAAATGAAACTGTATTTCTTAGACTGATAAGAAAAGAACCGATAAGTTTGGCACAAGTTAATTTATTAATGAAACGTTTTGATCTATTATCACGCAATGAATCTTACGAATAAAACGCATCTAAGTCAATAAAAAAATTCATTTGCTTTCCATTCGCATGTTCTTAAATAGTTTGTACAATCATTAATTATTTAAGTCCACCCGTCGTAAACACGAATGAAATTGAAAAAGATCTAATATTTATAAATCGAATTTAGACTAAAATCAAATGTTTTGTGTATACAAGAGATACAATATACTTTATTACAAGAAATCTTACAGGGAAACTTTACTCTTCGTAGAATGATTCGATGTTGCTGACTGTTGCATATTCCACACCCTGTTGAAAACATTTATACATTTCCTGTGAAGCTTGAACTGATGAAAAGACTGCTTTCAAAGTGCGCTTTGCCTCTGGTTCTAAAGCATAATCGACTGCTGTCCAAATGCATTCTTTGCCGTCCACCTTAAATAAACGACAGATATCTTTTGTATAATTGAAGTAACAATATGAAAAAATTGAATTCGAATGTAACATATTTGTACCTGCATCTGCGTGTTTACACGAATGATGGTATTGCTTACAATATGACCTGCTTCGCCTACTCTTAATACTATCCTTCCGCCAACAGCATCAGAGTCAAAATAAATAAATAAATTTCCTAAAGCCACAGGCACCCATGTATCATCTTTATTTGTTTTCGCAAATAAAGTAGCTCTCCTTTCAAAAACGATGGAGTCCTGATCATCGTCATCCTCTTCCTCATCCTCGTCGTCTTCTTCCTCTTCCTCCTCTTCTATTTCATCCAATTCTTCATTCTCCTCGTCATCTGATTCTTCGACCATGGGGCCGTCTTCTGTAGCTTTTTCACCTAAATTTGTAGGAAATTGATTAAACTCGCATGTAAAATATAACAGATTCAAAGTGAATGAAATAAAGATGCAGGAATCAAGCAAGAACTGACGTAAGCTTACTTGTTATCTGTGTTATTCTTATGTCTCATGAAATATATATGTACATGTATCTTAATATAATCCTGATTAGTGTTACGGCACTTTCAGATATTTACTCGTATGAAAAAAAACTGTGTAAATTGTATTTTGCAAAATTACATTTTATTCGGACGTTCCGTAATTAAAATACGTAATTATACAACTTTTTTTTTCCTATAACCGGATTGTTAATACAATAATATTGATTCGGTAATAAAATTTTATTTATAATATTATTTAAGACAGGTGTACCTTTACATATCTATGCTTCCTTTTGTTCGAAAGATAAGAATTATACTAAATTAACAAAGATTCGGTAAAACAATTTTGTACATTTTCATATTACGAATGAATATCACGATCACATATCACAATCAATCTGAAAAGTCTAATACATTGATCGAGAACTACTCTTTTTTCCTTAACAAAAAACACGGTATTTTTTAAAAAAATAACAAAATATCTCTTATGACCACGTTTCAGTACACTCCGATCACGCATTAGAAATACTCTTAAACAATAGTACGTTCTATATGTAAAAATATAGTTATAATTATCATTGTTCAACGATTGAAAAAAAAATATCCATTCGATAATACGTAACATAGCGGTGGTTGTGTCATGCAGCCAAAAGCAATAACCATGAATTGAGGAAAGCTTTATAGGCAACAAGTTTGCATCTTATTCCTTACGGATTTCGGTTAGCGTTTGTTGAATTTTGTCGACTGTGTCCTTAAACTTTGCAGCCAGATCCGAATTTTTAAATTTAACTGCTAACTGTTCTGCGCATGACTGCTCCTCTGCGTAATTCATGCCCGCCCATACCCATGCGCGATCCGACGTAGCGAGTTTGGTGAAATGTATATCCGGCGTAAGCAGCAGATTGCATACAACTTTATGAACTTGCTCTCTACGCAACAATAATCTGTAGGTTCCGCGTTCTGCATGATGTAAGATTTTCATCTCGCCAACGCCCCTTTCTTTCCATTCCCGTGTTGCATTGTCATATCTATACAATTTCGCTCTTTCGCAGAACACTGTAATACAAATATAAACACCGACAATAAACAATGATTCTCCTTCCGATCATTTAATCCTCATTAAATGATACTGTACCTTTCTCTTCATCTTCCTCTCCAGTGCGCACCTCGATAACATCGGGTAATGGCACAATAGGTTCAAAATGAGGGTCGTGTTCTTGGTCATTCTCATTCTCATCGCCCTCTTCTTCCTCGTTTTCACCTTTCTTCTCTTTCGCTGTTCCCTTCGTAGATTTATGTGGAGATTTAGAACCAAACACGGTTGACCCGGCACCAGCAAAAGAGAAGTTAGGATCTACAAAGTGAGTATACGCAAAACAACGTTAATATCAACATCATTGTCATCGTCGCATTTATATTGATCAACGTACCTTTTTTAAATGCTTGTTGGGGAGCTTTCTCCGCTAGGTCGGAGAAGGATACCTCCGCGGAGAGGAAACTAATACCGCAATCTTTCGCAGGCTCATTCTCGGACGTCGTCAGTTTTGTGTCAAAGATGTTCGTCGTCGCGGAATTCGCGATTCCAAAAGATGGTTCGTTGCTGGCCGTTCCAAACGAGAATGAAAACGGCGTAGACGTGCTACCGAATACTGCATTAGTGGGCTTAGCGGACGCTCCGAATACACTTGTAGTTGTCGTGCTCGTGCTGAACGGAGATGAACTGCTGGTAGTCATTTCCGAGCCAATCTTCGCCGCGGCCTGTCCGAATATCGGAGCACTCGCGCCGAATACTGGATTCGCAGAGTTGCTAACGCTAAAGGAACTAGGCTTAATGAGTCCAGGGAAATCCTTCTTCGTTGAACCGCCGAACATGTTCTTCCCTGTACTGATGCCGAAGAGACTGTCTGATTTAGGCGTGCCAAACGAGGGGAACGAAGACACAGAGTCGGTCGTTGCTTGAGACTGAGAGCTGGCTGGACTACAAATGTTCAGGTTCTCAGTTCCAAGGATACCCTGCTCGTCGCTCTCAGATTTCTGCGTCTCGCTGAGTTGAGCCTGCGACATCACGAACGAGAAGCCTGACTTCGTGGTCTTCTTATCGTTCGCTGCACTGGTGTTGCTGCTACCGAACATCTTGAAAACAGGAGAATCTGTATTTGGCATGCTAGTCGTAACGGTCGTCGCAGGCACAGTGGTCGCAGGTTTCTCAGCTGTTTTCGACGATTCTTTACTGACAGTACTGCTTTCAAACAAAGGTACTGGCGGTTCTTTGCAGCCTCTGCAACCAGGACAGTCCGGGTTACGCTTGTACGCGTAGAAGTTTTCTGGGAGCTGTAACTTCAGCGCGGCTTCCCTTTCCTCGGGCGTCACCTTCATCTCGTACACAACCTCTATCTCTTGGCCGGACGTCTTAGGATCCGAACTTGCATCAGGTTTGACCTCGATAGCTTTAACATCCTTCCCCGACTTCGCATCCTCAATGGTGTCTTTGAAATGCTTCGCGATGTCGGAGTTCTTGAAGCGACACGCGAACAGCGTATGCTCGATCTCGCCTTCGCTGTAATCGGCGGCGGTCCATATCCAGGTCTTCTCGTCTTTCGGCTTCATCTCCAGATTCGGCAGGACGAAATGGTTCAGGCAAAGCTTGAAGATCTGCTCCCTCCTCATGATCAATCTCAGCTTGCCCGTCTCTTTGTGTCGCAGCAGCTTGATGTCTCCCAAGCCGCGCTCCTTCCATTCGTTCACCGTTTTGTCGTATCTGAACAACTTCGCCCTGTGACAGTAGAGAACCTCCTCGTCCTCCTCGCCAGTCTTCACCTCGATCTTGTCCGGCAGAGGAACCACCGGCGAGAAATGAATGTCGTCGCTCTCGACCACCTCCTCCTCGCTGTTCTCGCCATCCGCGGTAGCTTTGGACGGAGACTTCGCTACGAAGTTGAAGTCGAACAGCTTGCCTGGCGAGCCGAAAGTGAACGGAGAGTCTTTGCTCGACAACGTGTTGGACGTCTGTTGCATTCCGAACACGAACTTCGTGCCTGGGGTTTCAATCTTCGCGTCCGACTCTGCGGCTGCCGATGACGAGGTCTTGGTATCGGCGGACGCGTCGTTGGACGTGGGTAATCGGAACATGAAGCCACTCGTGTCCTTCTTCGAGGTGTCCTGTGGAATGCCGAACGTGAACGTGGGTGTGACACCAGTGGTGGAGGTGCTTATTAGAAAACCGTCTGTCTTTGGCTTCGGCGGGATCGACGGATCCTTTGGCGTGTCGCAGGCGACGCAGTAATTGTTCCCAACCGAGTTAGCGATATCACAATTTTTGCATTTCCACGAGGTAACCGGCGGCTTCAACGTTCCCGGGAGCGACGCTTCATTCGCGCTGGCCGTTACCGGGATCTCTTGCACCTTAGTTGCGTGTGGACTGGGCGCTTTGCACGCTATACACTCGGCGTTGGACGCATCGTTTCTCGTGTAACAATCCTTGCATTCCCACGAACCCGAGGGCGGCTTGAACAGCTCTGACAATGGTACCTGACTCGTGGTGGTCGTCGTTGGAATGTTTTGATTATTAGTCGCAGGACGATGTGCTTTACACGCTACGCAGACAGAGTTGAACGCGCCGTTTCTCGTGTAACAGTCCTGGCATGCCCACGAACCTGTCGGTGCCTTGAACAACTCGGACAGGGGCACCTGGCTTTTGGTCGTCTGCGCGTTCTGAGTGGTCTCTTGCTTCTTCATGTTTTCAGCGGAGACGCTGTCCTTCACCATCTTTTGCTGATTACTAGTGATCATGTTATGGAACTGAGAGGCTTGCGCGGCTGTCTTGAACGTCACCGCGAACGAACCCGGCTTCTTGTCCGGTCCATAGTGAATGGTCCAATTAACGACAGTGCTGCTGCCGCCTTTCCACATGAACAGCATTTTCGCGAGCACGCTGTAATTGTAGCAAACCTTCGTGGTATTCTCTTCGGTCATCAGTAATCGAATTTTGCCAGTCTTCGGGTTCCATAAAGTCTTCATTTGCCCGGTACCTCTATGGTTCCACTGCTTGCTGTCGTTATTGTAATACTGCAGAGTTACTTTAGCTTCGAATATGACTTCTTCCTGATCGTGCTTCGAGTCCATACTCTGAACGCCCACCAGTTTAGTCATGCTTGGAGAAGGCGCGTGAGGTCTTCTAAGAGTACTAGGTTGGGACGAGCCGGTTGGAGCAGTTTCCGCAGTTGTAGATGTTGGCGCTGTCGTGGTCTCTGCCTTGGGAGGTGTCGCAGTTTTTGCAAACGAAAACGTAGACGCTTGCGTTACCGCGGACATCGCTACGCTCTTAGGTGTCGCGACGTCAGCGGTTACTCCTGTTTTAGTGAAAGTGAACCCTGCGAATGGACTGACTTCCGGTTTGCTGGGAGCTTTTACAGGCTCAGTGGTAGGTACTTTCTGAATGATTGGCGTCGTCGTGAATGAGAAACCACCGAGAACCGTTGTACTGGCTTTTGATTTATCCGACGCATCTGAAACTGCAACCTGAGGTTGATTTTGATTGATTTGCGCGGCACCTTTCAGCTCCACGGGTGTCGTCTCCTTTTTCTCAATATTATTCGTTATGGTATTCGCTTTGGTAGATACTTTGCTCTCAGCAGACTTTTCGGTGGTCTGGAACAGACTCGGCTTCGTTCTCTCAAAGTGCTCCTTGAACGACAGACTCGTCTTCGCTCTCTCAAAGTGTTCCTTGAAGGACAGACCTTCCTCCACCGTTTTAAACCTGATGCAGAACTTCTCAACCTTCAACTCGCCGTCCGCAAAGTCGTGCGCGACCCAGAACCAAGTCTTCTCGTTGTTCGCTTTGGCAGTTAGCTCCATGTCGGGTGACAGGTAATGATTCGCGCACACTTTCAGAACTTGTTCCCTGCGCATAAGCAAACGAATCTTTCCTTCGCTGTTCTTAAGGAGTTTCACGTTACCAATGCCACGCTCCTTCCACTCGGTGTCCACGAAACGGAAAAGTTTCGCTCTGGCGCAAAACAAGACCTCCTGACCCTCTTCTCCGGTGGTGACTTTGACCTCTGCGGGTAGTGGTATCACGGGGACGAAATCCGGTATGGGATCGTGCTCGTGTTCATGCTCGCGTTCGCGTTCCTGTTCATGTTCGTGTTCCGGTATGATCGGAGAGCCGGTCGAGCAAATGTTAGCGTTCTCAGTCTTTGGTGCTTCTGGCATAGTAATGTTAGCCGGAGTGGTGGTCAAAGTGGTCGACAAAGGTGGCAAATTGACGGTGGTTAACACAGTTGCCTGAGAAGGCATGGATATTTGATAACAATGAGGAGCTGACTGTTCCGTGGTGACCATCGTGGACGCGCTTCCCTGTCTGAAATGCGGAGGAATTGTTACGCTAAGCGTTGGCTGAACAACTGGCACTGTAGTCGGCAAAGTGTCGGATGTGGTGATGACAACGTTAACCGGTGGGACTTTGTTCACGGGCGCGTCCTTTATCGTTGTCTCGGGTTTAGATGTCTCAACCTTCTGAAGCGAAATCTGCATCGACTGATTCGCTGGTGGCATCAGATCCGGCATCTGAGTAGGCAATCTCTGCGGGAACAAGCCCTGCTGAAGTATGTTCTCCGGCATTTTTGACCTGGTGTTCGGGTACAGGACCGGCATCGGGTAAATGTTCGTACAGAAAGAAGCCGCGTTCGGATCGCTGAACGACATGCCTCCTGGGAAATAGCCTTGGAAAGCTGTAGCCGAAGGATACACCAATTGAGAGTACGAATTTCTGTGCGACGTCTGGAACATGTTTCCTGATATCGAGGACGCGGGACCTGACGGGTTCGCGTTGTAATTTAACTCGTTGAAGTCCTCCTCGCTGAGCATGCATAGATCTTCTTCCAGATTCGGGTTTACGTTTACCGGCTGCGTACGTTGCCGTTGGATGTCCTTCCGCAACTCCGTCACTTCTTTCGTGAGCTCTTCGAGCTTCTCCATTACAATTTTATTCAGCTCCAGTATATTCTTGTTCTGTTCTGTGATGGACTGTATCATATTCTCCTTGGCATGGATCATTTGGTTGATCGCCCGTATCTGAGCATCGAGACGTTCGGGGCTCGGGCGTGCTTCCGAACGGTTTCGTGATAAATCTAGCAAGTCTTGATGTTGCGGCCTGTAGGGAGTGCTGGACTGCTTAGGAGTACGATGCGAATTCTTGTGCGGTGTGTTGACCATGTTGACGGAAGCACTCAACCCCGTGAACGTTGGTAACGCCGGGTTCACGGGTTGCGTCTCTACGCCACTGTGTGCTGAGGAGTAACTGTCGTCCGACATTCCGTCGCATTCGTTTCTACTTAGATCGCCTCGCGACAGGTCCGGATCGATTCGTTTCAATTTATTCTCTATACCGGCGATGCGCGTGTAAAGTTCCGAATTCAAGGGATGTTTTGGATTCGCTCCTGGACTGCGCAATCGATCTAATGTTAAATAAAAGCATTCTCTTGCTTTCGAGAGCATCACGATATGCTGCGATCTCATTTCCGACGTTAAACTCTCTTTCGGCGTGGAATTAAGGATTTCGTCCGCGAGCATCCCGTACATTTGACCCTGTTGGAACGAAGCTTCCGGGCATTTTAATGTCTGCAATGCGTCGATCGCTTTTTCGTATTGTTTGTCACGCACGAAACGTTGCGCCAAAATCAATTTACCCTCTTCTAGAGCTTTCACCAACTCCGGGTTACTCAATTCCTTGCCCTGATAGCTGAAGAACTTGGAATTCGTTACACGAAGAATTTGATTATTCTGCAGTCTTTCTAAAAGTGGAATCGCGGTGGACCAATACATCTCGGAACGTGCCTCTAAACTCGGTATCTCACCGTTTTCTTGATCGACTTCTTTCAACACTTCGGCTCTGTAAAGGAATATCCTCGCCAAATGAACTAACAGAGCGGGATGCAATCCATGGTTTCCAATGCAACGAACGACTTCTAAACCCTGTTGCAATTCTAATCTCGTGTTCCCAAGATCATCATCCAATGGTTTTTGTTTGTCCATTGAATAGACTTTGTAGGCAGCGGACCACCATTTCTCTTGAGCACAAGTGCATAGGGTATTGGTGAGATCCGCTGGTAATGTGGGTAATTTATCAGGATTCAAGAAACCGCTCAGTTGCTGTTCTTCCATCATCGCAGAAGCGCAGAAGATTGCTGCATTTAGAAATGCGTCGATGTCGAGGCGACTCAGACTGTCAGGGGATGCCTGATTCAAGTTAAAGACAGAAAATTGTAATTCACAGAACACCCGCGACGTCTGATTCGGTAAGGGCCCACTGTCTTTACTCTGTGAACCGTGAGGTCGAGATCTCAAACCAAGCCAAATCTGATGATGTAACGAATCCGGCCACACTTCTTCCGAGATTTCATCGAATCGTTTCAGTTCGTTGTACGAGCACAAGCGTAACGGTGGACTTGAATGCGAACTCTTTGCAAAATATGATGTCAATTTACCATCGTGATATAATCGACCGATAAAGATTCTCTGATAAACCCGTTCGCGCCACAAACTTGTACAAAACCTATCAATTTTGTCCAGTAGCTTTTTGGTATTGTCTCGCGCGTAATCCTGTAAAATATGCCCCGCTTGACTGCACCTGTAAGATCCTTCTCTATACCAAACGTGCACTTGACTTTTTAGACGATCCTTCAAATGCATAGTCCACACAGCTGTAGGATCTATAGGTGTTACGTGTAATGCAGTTAATAAAAGAGGTGCAGATAAACGTCCCGCTTCAGACCAACTGTCCTCTCCTCCTTTAGTCTTCCGTAAAAATAAACATGCCAAATGGAAATGTAATTGACCCCACATATGTAATAACATATTTTCAATAAAAACTGGATGATTGGAAAAGTTTGCTGACTTAAATTCAGTTAAACATTGATCGAAGCTGAAATAAAAATACATTAATTCAGTAATGCCGCTTATACGCGTGCATTCGTTTATATAGAGTACTTACTTAAATACTGCTTGTGTAGCATCTGATATACTTTTTTTTGTAATATTACCCTGTTCTTTTAAACAAAGAGCTGCGTATCTTTCTAGTACAGAAATGTAGAATATCCAAAATGTCCAATCTGACTGTTTACTCTCTTTACATTTTATAAGCAACTCACATAATGCCTGATACCAAACAACACTGTTTCTATGACTGTGCGTTGATTCAATTCTAGAAGCATGATTGTATGCATCTTCCAGTCTATGATTTCCTATATAATGTTTCAACAATTTAACTTGTAGATGCACATCTGTTTGTCGTACTGACAATTCCGCTAAAATAATGGTATCGTTATCATTTTTAAATGTTAAATGTACTTCACTATATATAATTCACAATAATATGAAATTAAATTATATTACGTACAAGTAATAAGCTTCTCTAAATCGTCATTGTTACCACTTGGTTTTTCTAATGTTAACATTTTCTCCTTTAATTGAAAAACTATTGGATGATGTGGAAACTTTTTGTCAGCTCTTTCTACCCAATATTTAATTCTATTCATATCGATGTTGACATCCACATCAGTTAGAAGTTCACAAACTAATAGATACAATAAATTAAGAAATACATATGCAATTTTCACATATACAAATTATAAATTCAAAAACAGAAGGTCGTACCCTTCAAAACAAGATCATCTTGCTTTGGTTCCAATTCAAGGGATGTTCTATATTGCATAAAAGCTGCTTCCTTCTGTCCTAAAGCTTCCAAAGACTGACCTAATAATTTATAAGCTCCAGCACATTTGTCTCGTATTTCCAAATAATTAGAAACATATTTCTTTGCAGATTCATAATCCCCAACTTGATAATATAGCTTTGCTATATTATAACATCGTAGATGTTTCTGTAAATGTAAGGCAGAAATATTTTACTATACACTGCTACGCTACCATCCTTCATACTATAAAATTATTATGCAAACTAAATAAATCACTAATAGATTTATTAATGAAATTTGTAACAATTTTTCAGACGAAAATAATTATTTTTCAGATATTAACAAATGAAAAAGTAGAAACTATAGAAATTTCTGTTATCATTCGTGAATCACTTAATTTACGCGCCTTGTGACTCTTGGCTGACCGGCTACACGGACAGAAATATTCCGCGGAGTACTAAAAATCGAACGGACATCAAATAGCAAAAAAAGAATGGTAAACAGTGAAAAAGTAAAGAAACATTAATATATTTCTTTAAAACACGCTAAATCGTTATATAGATGTTAATAGATATACGTGTACGTATTGTCTTCAGAAACGAGTCAAGGTCTCCAATACTATCCACTAGACTTGATGTTTAAATGAAAAGCATCGTGTCTTAATATTTCTGTGTGTTTCACTCAGAAAAACAATGAAATTTATATCCAAAGTAACAGTGAACAATCAAATGGAACATAGTTCATAGTATGTAGTATCTGGCAGTGTTTGGCAGTAACGACTTTTTCGTTGAAAAAAATAACCTTACCTCCTCTGAATTTTTGAGCTTGATAAGAATGTCTTTCACGTGCCGGTCAACGTCCTTTTTCGAACGAAACATTTTTGGAGAAGAATGTGAAGCCTCTTTTAACTCTCACGTGTCAAATTAACGCTCAGTATCTCTTTAAAATGAAATAAGAAACACCGTTATGTGGTGTAAGCTGAACGATAAGACTTCCCCCGCACAGCAATCTCTCTTTCAAACGGTCTCATCGAAATCAAGCGTGCCAACTTACATACTATCTACATTACACAAATTGTTTTAAAATAATGCAAATGCAATACAGTTTTAAATAAATATTAATCATTGTGCAATGAATGTTTTTCTATTTTTTTAGACACATTATACCGAAGTGGACAATATTTGGTTATAATCATCACATATCGAAAATCAATGTTACATCATTCAGTGCAACCGATGTGAAGTTGCATACGCAATTTAAAATATGATAAACATATCAAACAGACAGACAACATTGAAATATAACAGTAAAGTATTTTAGAGATGGTAACCGGTGTTTATTGTTTTATTGTACTTAATAAATTTCTCGAAGAATATCGTTGAAAATAGCTTATTTATTTTGTCGCACAGTACTTCATTTTATTGCAATTTCAACAAAATACGAAAAATGTTTAATTAACATTTAATTGCATACATGCATTCGCTGTGTATCGACACGTCTTGTTTTAATTACAAAATACACATAAAATGTGTAATGTATTAATTCATAAATAGTAAAACAATATTGTACAGAATGAATATAAATGAAATATTATATAATTGGTCTATGCTGATCGTCAAATTGACGCAAATAATTCTAAGGTTGTTGAAGTTGCATCTAAAAGAATTCATGAAATTTAGGCATAGAAATAATGTAAATATACTGCATCGCAGTGAGAATTTCTTGGTAGTATCTAAACCATATGATATGTATATCAATAGCAATAATCCTAAGAAAAAGGTATGACAGTCAATATTTGCACACACGAAAGGGAACGTGTTTCATTGATATGTATTTAAAATTTTAGAATACACTTCAATCTGAATTGAAAAAAATTTTACCTAATCTGGCTAATCCAAGTTTATTCCATGAATTTCATTTTGTACACAGATTGGATTATGCAACCAGTGGTATTATATGTATTGCATTAAATAAAAAAGCAGCACGAGCTGCTTCAAATGCATTTGAAACAAGAAGAGTAAAAAAGTTTTATTTAGCATTACTTCATGGTCATGTTAATGAACCTTATCTTGTTATAGATAAACCGATTGGTTAGTAATTCTATAAAAATGGTTTACAAACATCATAATTCATAAAAAATCACATTTCTTCATTAGGAATCGATGTTAGAGAAAAAATGGGAAATCATAAAATGTGTATTAATGATAATGATTTTTGTGAAAAACCCCGAAAGTCTTATACAATACTTGTTGTATTAGAACATGGCTTCAGAAATGGAAAACCAGCTACTAAAGTACTATTATGTCCAGAAACTGGTAGACGCCATCAATTAAGAGTACATTGTTCTTACATTGGTCACACAGTAATAGGAGATTACACATATAGTGAAAGAAAAGATGTTGAACCTTACAGAACATTTCTACATTCCTTCAGGTATATGTTTCATACAGTTGTTTCCCATAATGTATTGACATCAGTTTCTTTTTTAAGGTTGATACTAAATAATGATGTTGAAAACTTAGATATAAAGAGTATAGATCCATTCCAAGCCTCTGACCCAAGAAATCAGTGGTCACCAACAAATATTGCTCGAGTTTTAGATGAAAATATATTTTTTGAAATTTATAATCTTATGCAATAAAATTGCAACCTTTTTTATAGTTCAATTTGTATTACTCACTCCACCGCTGTTATTCCAGATCCTTGTACTTCGAATTGGATAGTTATTTCTGGCAAATTTGATGACAATTTGACACAAGCATATCTAAGAGAATTTATTCTATAGAAACATATAGAACTAGTTATCATGCTTAGCCATGTTACCCCTAAAGCTGGTTGTTCACTTAAGTTATCATTCAATCCATTGTTATGGACAGCTGTTGTTACCTATCAATGTTTTATATAATATTTAAAGATTTTACTAATACATAATAAGTAATTTTAGATATTTGTATTATTTTACCTGATTAATACAAACTATACAAATATCATTTTTACATAACTTATGTAATTGTTGACCAATTGTTCTTAAACGTTTTGCTCTGTTATTAGATTCATCTTTCCAATCTTCTACTCTAAATGGTGCAGCAATTGAATCTACAACTATTAATCCAATTTTTTGTGTTGACATTAATAAAGGTATTCTATGCAGCAAACATACTTCCAGTTCCTCCTATAAACATAAAAAATGAAATATTCTATAGGAGCTGCTATAGTCATTTTATAAGTCGTATAATAATTACAGTTGTTGATACATGTTCCACAAATATTGGGTCACCATTCAGTCTATATTTCTTAGCAATTTCTAATTTTTGGATTAATTGTTGCAACCTCCTTGATGGAAAAATTGATTCAGTACAAATGTATATAGCACCTGTGTTAACCATTAAATTAAAAGTTGTGTACATTTAAAATTAATTAACATTTAAAATGTGAAAATCAAAGAATACCAGCAGCCAAACCACCCTCTGTTATAGGCAGTTGCACTGTAAGACATAGTTGCAAAGCTAATTGAGTTTTTCCTGTATTAGCTGCTCCATAAATTTGTGTAATCCCGCGTGCAGCAATACCACCTTGAAGCATCGCATCAAATTTCGAACAGCCAGTCGTAAGGAATTTTTCGCAGTCCTTTATTGTTTTCGCATTTTCTGATATTATAAAACGATATAAATGTAATAACAATGCATAAATTCGTTAAAAATAAATAATAAAGGCAGCTAAACCAAAAATATTGGTCTCATAAAACATATTTGCAAAAGTTTAATATAATACTACCAAAATAATTTTCCTCTAATTCCATTCTTGAAGGTGTAATTTTCAAAGTTTTTAATCAATTAATAACACTTTGAAAATTGATCATAGTAGATGTAAATAAATACAAACGATTAGTGTGTTCAAAGTAGACATATACATGTAACATAAGTCACACTTCATTGGCGGTTTAATAGATGGCAGTTCCTTAAAATTTGAATCATAAATACACATGTAAAAACGTAAATGTACAAAAATTACGCATAAAGAGAATATAATTTTGGATAATGCTTTCGAGGATACACGAGGAATAGATTTTGACTGTCATTTTATTAAATATGGAAAAAATGTAACTTTATTACTTTTTCTTCCCAATATTCAAAAGTCAAACAAATTAAATATTACTTTTATACAACTCTTTTGTATTATATAATGTTTTAGAAGATGTTTCTCCTAATAATGTACACTATTACTTTTTCTTCAGAACCTTCTCTTTTCGTTTTTTTACATGTTTTTTTATTTTACTTTTTCTTTTTTCTGCTTGCTGTTCTTTCACTGCTTTTTTTCGTGCCTGAAATAAAACCTTTTTAGCTGTATGCTATACATTTTAAACACTGTACAAAAAGTGTAAAAAGTTATTACTTTTTTACTTTCTGGACTCTCGTGTCGAGGCCGAGCCGAATTCACGAATTTCGATTCGTTTTCTTCTTCGCTACTTTCGTCTTCTTCGGAATTATCAATATCCTCAGACAAATCAGATTTTTCGTCTGTATCATCAATTTCGTTGTTTCCTTTAGCGAGAATTTCAGGAGTGCTAAGGGGCTTAGATAAGTCTGCTTTTAAACCAACAAGGGTTTTATATATTAAATCTTCCTTTCCAGATTTAGCAAGCTTTATGTCGCGTTCAATATCAATGACCTAAACACGCTTATATTAAAATTATATACCTGTGAAAATTAATACGCCCATACAAGTTCACATATACAACTCATTGTGGACATGTGCATCTACTGTTCCTCAACATTACCTGAGTTAAATTTTGAGGAATATAAGCTTCTTTAAATACTTGTTCTTCAATTTGTTCCATGGGATCAATCTGTTGCTCATTTTTTTGGGTCATTTGCTCTGATATTTTATCTAAATAATTATCCATATTTTCCTCAGTTACAGTTGGGTCTGTTATGAAATCAAATAATGCCTTAACAGTCATTACACCTACTTCATTCTTTTTAAAAAATTCTGAAAGTATAATTGTCATAATTTAATTATATAAAATTAACATAATATCAGTCTATAACTACAAGATCTCTATGTTTATATACCAGTTATATTTGTACAGTCCTTCCTAAGAAATTCTAATGCCATAGGATGATCATGTTCAACTGCTTGAGATACATCTATTATTATAATAGACCCATCATGATACAACATATTGTATTCACTTAAGTCAGCATGAACAAGTTTGCATTTATTATACATTTTCCACATTGTCTCAATACATTCCCTGTATAATTTTCTTGGTTTTGAGGAACTAAGGACAACATCTTTCAATTTCGGTGATGGCCAACCATTGGTACCTATGAAATCCATTAACAGTACATGACTACGCAGTAAAAGTGGTTTTGGAGCATTTACTCTTCCTTGTTGAAGACGTATCAAATTTCGGAATTCTTTTTCAGCCCACGTTCGTACCATTTTACGTGGATTATGCCGACAATATCCATGACGAAAACGGAATTCACCAGTCACATATTTGTCTCGATCTTTGAATTGTAAAATTGATGTTTTATATATTTTTATTGCAAATTCTATTCCTGTTTTTGAAGTTGCATGATAAACATTAGCTTCCTTCCCTGTTGAGATACATCCATTAATTTCTGCAATTATACCCTGGTTTAAAAGCTTAAATAATATCATTCTTGTACGAGGATCTAAAACTTGTTCAACAGTTGCACGATCATGCTTGTCTTTAGTTCTAAGTCTATCCTTTTCTGCACGCTTATCATTTTCAATTAGGAGATTTGCAGCATGCCCTGGTAAAGATGGTCCTTCATATTTTTCAATACTAATTTTGTTTGCATAGCGACGGAATAATTTATCTGATGGTTGATAATTTGTAATCTTATTAGAAACATTTTGCGCATTAGCATTTTGAGTTTGAATATTTTTTACAATATCTTTTGATCTGGTTCTATTATCATCTACATCCCAAAGAAAGTCATCATCATCCAAATCAATGTCATTGTCATCTTCTATTTCTTCTGCTTCATTCTTTGATATATGTAGCTCATCTATATTTTTAGAAAGTTCACCATAAAATAGCGGTTGCCCTTTACATTTTTCTGGCCTATAATAAAGCGTTAAAAGTAATTAAAATCTGTATTGTTAGACAGAATATAAATAAATATTATACATACAGTATATCATTTTCGTCAGCATCACTGAATTGACCTTGTTCATCCTGTACTGACATAATGATAATTACTTTATAATCAATACTTCTTTTTAAAATATTAATAATGTTTTACCAAACGATGACAGTTAAAATATTAAACTGTTATAATCACGTTTTCTAAAAGCTTAAATAAAAATTAGGTTATATTTTAGTCACATTAAGGCGCTTTTCAATTGAAGTAAAGGTACCTACTTATTCACTGTAGGAAACTTTAACTTATTATTATCATTTATTACATATACCTACTATGCGAATATTTATTTTATTATATATTGTATGTGTATTGAAAATTATAAACTAATTCTACAATATTTTAATTCCAATTAAAATTTTTTTTAATATTAAAAAAAACAATCGTTTAATGAAATTCAATTGTCCCTCTTTAGACTTCTTTGCCCGTGATTAACGTGTGACAACATTACTTTGTTTACATGAATCTCTATTTAAATTGTAAAATTACGTTGCGATGACAGAGAGTAAGATATTTATTATAATTTCTCACCTAAAAACTATAAAATCTTTAAGAGCACCAAAGTATACTTATAAGAATGTATGGAATTGCACGTTGCAGAGCATTGAAACATTTTATTCGCGCTTATTCTATATTAATTACAAAATGAAGAGCGAATGAATTACATACACAGAAGGCTTACAATTGTAAACCGCTTTGTACTTACGTTCATTTATTAATATAAAATATTTAAAACAATAGAAACTTAATCTTACATGCTTATGTAATTTTGAACGTTAATGAAAAACGTTAATAATATAATTGATACTGTTAATGCAAAATTTGTTTCAGATATTACAAAAATGTTTAATCGTGCGATTATTCTACTTCATTGTTATGTATCTATATTGAAAAGTTCTAAGAATTATATACATTTATAAATCATTCTGACAGTGTAAATATTTTTGAAACATAAATAATTAAATAAAATTATTTTATAAGTAATAAGCTTTCTATTTCTGCTAGGTTTGAATCTAAAAACATTGAAAAATGCAAAATATTATGCAATCTATAGAAGAATGCAATGCCATTCGATATGCATCCTACAGAGCTGCAGCAAAAATGCAAATTTTACACAAAGAGCTTAGTAGTAAGTTCAATCTTATAATAATTCTCATGGTATTGGCATTATCTCATATATATTGTAATTTTATTTTTATAGTGCAATACGTTCAATTGGAATTAATTGCTGGAATCTTTGAACGGCACAGACTTTCAATTACAGAAAATTGTGTGAATTTAGATCCAAGCGAAATTGAAGATGTTCTCTCTGATATCTATTTCGCAGCTTGTAAAGAAAATAATACTAATTTTGATGTTGATAATACAACAAAACTTGCACTGAATTATATTTTGACTACATTTGATAAGTATGTCATCTTAAATGTTGTGCATGTTACAGTTATTAATAAAACTCCAATATAACGACCATTCATATAACAACAATTAAAAATTTTTTAAATTTTGTAGACAATACACTAGGAGTGTTTCAGTATTTTCTGTGAAAGTTGCTTTAGTACTAATGAGCTCAGGAAGGTTACAAGAAAAATATGGCTATTTTTATCAACAATTAGCTGATCATAATGCATGCTTATCTAAAGCTAGCTTGCACACATTATTAACAAATATTTGTAAAATAACTGAAATGCTTGGAGAAAGTGCTGCTTATGGGTATCAAAGTATCCAATCACATATTGATAACTGTTTTTCAAAGGTATAACAGAATAAATCTTTTCAATATGTTTAATTTCTAGTTAATTGATTAAATTTCATGTTAGTCTCAAGGATGCCTTGGAGTCACTGAATCAGAATTCGCAGCATGGATTATACAAGAACCTCCTTTACTTATTTGGATTACAACATTTAATCGTATGAAGTCTGCAGAGCATAGTATGTATCATACTGTGATATAAAATAGGAGATCCTTGATTTTATGAAATTTACAAATATTTTCTTTATTCAGTTACCCATAATGTAAGGTGTTCTTCTTGTAAAGTAACACCCATTCAAGGACCACGTTATACGTGTTTAAAATGCACAGCATATCATCAATGTCAACAATGCTTTCTATATGGCAAAATGTCAGGAAAGCATAAATTAAAACATCCAGTTCGTGAGTTTTGCGCGAAGGTACGTTCATACTCTGTACTTTTTATATATGTATTTATTTTTTTGTATATAAATCTTTTCAGAGTTCAAATCGAGAAGTAACAAAGTTAATTATCGAGTTAATAAGGAATAAATTAAGACTGTGTTCTGCTAGATCAATTGAAATGAATGTAGAGGATCAAACACCACAAATAACAAGGTAGTTACATATAACGAAGATAAAACGGTAAACATACTTTTTCACATGCATCTCAATTCCTTTTTAATACTTGCTACAGTAATGAAACAAGACACATTGACAACGAATCGATAAGAAGTACAATAAGAAGACGAGTTTTAAATGATCCACAGAAGGAACTACAGAGTATAATAACTCACTTAGAAGAGGAAAATAAACAATTGCAAATTGAATTGCTTGATATACGGGGAACTAAAGCAGAGAGACTTCAACGACATAGAGCTACCATTGAATCACAGTTACAACGTTTAAAATTATTAAAAGTAAAATGGGTTTGATTAAACGTGCTTTTTAAAAATCATAACAATAAATCTGAAATATTTTTTAAACTATTTTTAGAAATATTTGTTCGCCGATAGAACTCACATGCCTCATATAATTAATTATATGCAGAGTACCCCAATGGTTCCTCCGTTATCGTCGCGACTAGCAGCTTTACCCATAAATTTTGAATTAAGTCCAATTATTCGCCAGGAAAATATAGAACAAACTTCAAATTCAAACGATACAGTTACACTGCAATCAAATAATTTTAATCCAACGCTATCTGGTGAATGTATCACTGAAGAAAGTAATGATATTGGTGCTGAGGAAGCTTCTACTAGCACTAACTTTGTTAATGCACTAGAACCAACTCATATAGAACTGAGTACATGGATTGGAGGTACAATATTATAACTTTTACTACATATAAATACAATTAGCTTTTAATGCTTTAATAACAATAAATATTTTTGATTGATAGGTACAAAAAGATCGGAAATAAATCCCACTGATAGTGGTTTTTCCCAATGGTTAGGTTCCAATGATTCTGGATCAAAAAAAGAAAAATATTCAATGAAAACAGTAACACCAAGTAGTGAAAATGAATCACCGTTAATTATTTCCGATTCCCTTATGGGTATTTACAGAGATAATACACCATCTTCCCTTCAGCGGCCCGATAAACATTCACAACATAGTAGTTTACAGAACATTCAGGGAGACTTAAATGATATACTTGATAGGTTGCAAAATATGGTCGCAGACGACTGTTTACTGGATGGTAAATTGTTATATTATAGCAGTACAAATTCTTTTTATTATACATAAACATTTTTGTAAAAATTACTGTTGCAGATTCTTATGTAGCTAGTGATAATTGTAAATTAAAACGTGCTACAACAGAAATGGAAGATTTATTAACGGGACTTATCCAAGGTATGGAATCCCGTAAAAGCAAACTTACTACTATTGTGTGACAAACTTTTAAATTACAACCAGTGTTCCATAATTCGAAAGTAAATATTTAAGAAATAAATATCTCCGTCCGTGAAATCATGCATTTCAAATGATACCCATCTACTGGTATGAATGTTAGTAAAATATTGAACACTTAGAAGATAGAAATAATATGCAATGGCAAAGATAAAAATAATTTTCCTTGTATTACAAAAGATGAAAGTATCATTATATACAAGTTCATAATTAATTTAAAAGTATTAGTCCTACCTTAATAAAAATTTGTGCGTGAATTTCATTCTCATTTTAGTATACATAATAAAAAGAAAAAAAAAAGAATATTACTTCTTTCTCAACAAAGTAAACACTGAATTTGTTATATAAAAAAATATATATAAATACAATTCATCGCTTCGATGAATAGACTAGATTATAGAAAACAATGATCTGTATGCCAATGGGATACACTCACTTACACTATGTAGAATATATGTGATATTACATGTCTTTTTCATGTAACAGTGTATCTGTTAAATATGTAATTTTAAGCAACCGCGAGAAGTGTAATTTCTCTGATGGTAGATTTACCGTCCATGCCATCACACGTACACCGCGATTATACCATTCTTGTACAATATGCCTAAAATAAATATTTGAAAAAATATTTTGATCTTCGTAACATTAATTGTAACGAAATATCATTTAATAATATAATTCTATAGAAATAGCATAAAAGCTTATGTACATACTGATTTATCGTATCTTTATGTAACAAAACAACTGAAACACCTGTAATATAGTACACAAAATGGTAAAGTGCCCATCCATAAACATGATCTAATAAGCAAGCTGCTACATGTTTAACTGGATTGGTATAACGTATTTGTCCTGGTTTATCAAAAGGTGAGTACGATATTCTTGAAAAATAATATGGTCTCCATGCTAAACTTGTGACAATTCTGGGTTCCCTTCTCCTAAGCTATAATGATAGAATCATTAGTACTCTATCTAATACTAATTATAATCATATACACTTTTTTATATCTGGTTACCATATATATGACAATAGGATTAAAACTGGATACAATTCCCATTTTAAATAATTTTGGATACTTTTTGTATGCATCTAAAATTGTTTGTACAATTTCCATTCTACTCTCTTTTACATCTATAATTACTCTTTGTTCATTATTTAAGCATGTCTCTAAGGCATGATCAAATAATGGAATTTTTTCACCTTCCATAAATTTATCCCTATAAATAATGAATCATATTTTAAAAAATGTTTTTCTTTATATATATTCTATAATAAAGTTATTAAGTAAGTACTTCAATGGATGATTATGGGTGATATCCAATTCCTTTAATTGATCCCATGTCATATCTTTAATGATCCCAGGTTTTCCAGTAACTCTGTCAATGGTTGGATCATGAAATACTATGGGTACATTATCCTTTGTAAGGTATAAATCAAGCTCAATTCCTTTGCAGCCTTTCTCTTTGCTCTACAAAATATATCACGATCATTGTTCTGTTTGCAATTCAATACACCAACAAATAATACTTTAATGTAGTAACTTTACTGTTAGTAACTACTATATTAGTATTCATATTTACATTATAAAACAATTAAGCAATTTTTGCTGTTATGAAGATACCTAGTATTCCAAACTAGATAACAAGAAATAAGTCAATTTGTTATTTCTGTGTCTAAAGTAATCTCTAAATATAAAAACAAAAACCATGATTATATGTAAGATTTTACATTACGAAAGGCTGTTAAGCTGTTCTCAGGGCAATCATATGCTCCACCACGATGAGCCACCACTCGCATGCAAAACTGCTCTCCATTACCATGATCCTTCGATACATTGTTATCTTTTTTCGGTAAAAGGGGATTCACTCCAAGCACTTCATGTTTTATCTGTAAATTTGGCTGTGGAATTCTGGCTACTTTTAATCCGATTGTAATAATGATAGTACCCCAAATAATCCATGGTACACAAAAATGATAAAAAACACTTATTAAAATACTCCAGATAGTTTGTAAAAGTATCCACAACAAAGCACTGCTTAAAATTAGTTCGACAAATCCATGCATCTTTTAAAGAAATCTTTAGACTTGTTAACTGTTTTTCCAGAAGAAGGACAAGAGTGTTATTGAGTCTATGCAAAGAGGGACACTGAACATAATATTTTTGTGCAACACTTTATATTACTTGGGTGTGTGATTCTGCACATTTTTGTAGACACTGTTTAAAGCTTGATAATCTATCTGTGTTTGATAACAGACTTTTGCAATTTTTACGTCTGCATTCAACACAATGACAACTGGATGCTTTTGTGTACCTGAAACAGTCAATTAACTTTTAATTACATACGTCGAAAATTTATTAAATATTATGCGTTAAGAATGACAGTATTGTATGCTGTATGAATTTCCTTCAATTATAAATTCTATTTTTCTATCAATTTGATTCCACTTTACAATGCAATTACGATAAGCAAACTGATGACAATTCATCAATTTAACCGGTTCAAAGTTCAACTAATATCTTACGTGTTTGTGACTGCAGATACTGTTATAATATATAACTTGATAAGTTAAAATTAACGTTAAATGATATTTATTAAATAAACACTGTTAATTATACTTTTGATAGTAAAGCGTAACACACGCGACGTATGACACAACACGTACACTAGTGCAACAGAGCCTCCTCACGTTACACAAGTATGAACTCAACTAAGCCTCAGACTTAAAACATCTTCCCCTACTTCCCTATCAAAGTACCGACGCAGACCGTTGCGCATAAAATACTGACATCATATTGTTAATAAAGTGTACACATCGTGTATTACTTACTTTTGTTTATATGATAAATAATGTTGAACACAAGAAATGAAGAATTATATTCATTGAACAACTAATTTAGCTCTATGTAAACAATCTAATCAATTAATATAACTCTGTATTTAGTTGGAATTATATGTATTAAAAAGCTATTCTTTGCAGCAAATGGAAATTTTATATCACTGTATAGTCAAACATGCAAACAGGAAGAAAAATTAAGAAGACTTGAATTAAAAGATTTAGAACAATATTATTAAATCAAAGACACATGATGGGTGATACATTAGATTTTTTGACAAAGTATCATAATATATCTAATAAATTAAAAAAGTAAATATTTCATTCTATGTTATACTTGCCATAGTTACAGTTTGATACAGAGTAAATAATTCTATTTTAGACGTTTCTTGAGAAAGCCAAATGTTGCTGAAGCAAGCGATCAGTTTGGTAAGTTAAGGATAATATTGCAATGTATGTTGATTGCAGATATTGAAGTGAAGTTATAATATAATATTATTAATTCCTTTCCAGGACTCTTGGCTGCAGAATGCGAACAAAAAGAATTATGGCAATATGCAGGTTTATGTTTATTAGCTGCAGCTAGGTGTCAAGGAACATTAGATAATATATCTTTTGAATTAAATTTTTTAATAAAAGCGGGTAGAGAATTTCTTGTGGCTAACAAAAAAGACAAAGATATAGGATGCTCTTCTATAGGACAAGAAAATACACAGGTTTATTATTATTCACATTTGAATATATAAGCAATGAGACAAATAAGTTCAAATATTGAATTTTTGATTACTTTTGTCAGGCTGCTATAAGTTGCTTTGGTCATGCTTTAGCACGCTGCCAGAGTCAATCTGGATTCAGTACCATGTCTGCTGGATTAGCTTTAGAATTGGCAATAGCTTTAGGTCCTACTCCAGCTGGTATACAACAGTTGCGTAAAGCTATTGATATTTTTCCAACAGTAAAAGCGATTAGCACATTGGTGTCTTACCACATTAAGCAAGGTAATTTTTTTTCTCCTTGACAAGCATAAGCAGAGGAGCCAATTAAAAGAAATATTATTTGTTTAGGGGATTATGTATCTGCTCTACAGATTCTTAATGAGTTTGTTGAATTCATTGAGATTTACATTAATACTGGAGCAAAAGGCAATTACAGTGTCATACTACATAGGTATTGAAATTAAAAGAAATGTGAAATCATAGGTGTAATACAAAATATAATGATTACTTTATTATTTTATGTACAGATGCGAAGTAACCAGAGTGCTATTGCTGCTTATACTTCAACCATCACCACAAAGACTTGCACCTTCTTTAGCCCAAGTTTTGGAGAAGTATGCATGGATAGAAGAAACATCAAACAATGGCAAGCAATTCTGTACCATTTTGTAATCATTTGTACACATTCTGATTGATAATTGGAAAACTGTATTACAGATCTGAATATGAGTGAAGATGAATTATTACTGTTACAATCTTTGGTATTAGCATCTCAATCGCATGATTACCAAGCACTGCTAGAATTGGAAGGAGAATTATGGCCCTATCTGGATGCAGAACAAAAGGAATTATTGCATAAATTAATTCAAGTATTAACAGCACAATGAATAAACAATGTTCAACTCTACACATAAGTAATAAAAAAGGAAAATAACTTTGTAAATACTTTAATAAACGCCCATAGCGTTTTGTATTCATAGAATTTTATATTTCTCTTTTATTTCTGAAATGATCCTAAAATAGATTTCTTGGATGAAATGCTTGTTGCCTAAGCTGAGTAGACTTTAATGAGTCAATCCCTGTACAAATCCTCTAGATGATGCAACCGGTAACTGTGTGGACTATCGTATGCGTGTGCCGTCATTCCTTCTATTCTCACCACGGAGAACGCAGGCGAACGGAGTGGCGGTATCTGTGTGAAAGGAAGGACTCGGTAGGATCGAAATATAAAGTGTGCGTACATCCACAATGATCCGTATGATGGTATTGTGGAAGAGGGGATGCCTCGCGTTCCACGAATATACTAAACTCTGCTTTCCTATGACAGAAGACGAAGCAAGTGGTCGAGACGTAGTCAGTGATTACGCGGTCGCGTCCTCGAATCCTTCTGTATTAACTCGACATATTCGTTATTCTGTTATCTTGTGTTATCGAGGTAAAAATTTATTATATATATATAACGGAAAGAAAAGATTCTTCATATATATTCATAAATACATATTATAAAATAAATATCTCTTTATATCAATTACTACATTTATACACAAAAGGCATTAAAAGTTATTTTTTTTTATAAAAGATAATCAAACATCGCCTTAGAGTAGATGGAAACTTAAGAGCGTTTGAATGCGCCAAAGACGATAGGCTTTGAGTACCGTTAAATATACAGGTGCAATAGTCAAACTTAAATTTTTTCTTTCTCTACGAAATGCCGATATTGAGTATTTTTATTACAGTTTTGCTTTATTCAATCTCTTTCTTATATATCTTATTATTTCCGTTCGCACGGTGCGAAGTTTTGTAAATTATTACGTTACAAGTTAAAAATGTTGCTCAATTAAGGTAGCCTTGACTTAAAATGGTAACTTGATCCGTGTATATTAATTGTATTAAAACGCCTAAAGGGATAATAATCGTCTGCAGGTATGATGAATATAGTACTTTACCACGTGTATTAACGACCTTGAACTCCGCATAGTTCAATACAGGTGAACGTCCGAAGCACCTGTGCTTTTCGTGTAACGCAGACAACTGTATTTGCAAACTATTCGCACAGATTCTTCGCTCTAGGAAACTACTGCAATAAAGTGAATAGAAACTGTACAGAATCATAATATTTCGACTTTTTTTACTTTGATTTTAGAATGAGCACAGATTGGAAAACCATTTTCGTGACCGGCGGTGCCGGTTACATCGGTAGCCATTGTATCGTCGAACTTTTGGAAAATGGGTACGATGTTGTGGCGATAGATAATTTTGCCAACAGCGTAACAGAGGGTTGCGGCGATTCAGCAGCTCTCAAAAGAGTCGAGCAAATAACGGGGAAGAAGGTCACCTTCTACAATTGCGATCTCATCGATCGAGATAAACTTGAAACGGTTTTTAATAAGGTACCGAATAGCAACGGGAATAATTCGTGATTTTTACAGTAATATTTAAACGGTGAAATCTTCTCTTTTTGCAATCGATATTGAGATATTTTACATTTCAGCACAAAATAGATTGTGTGATCCATTTTGCGGCCATAAAAGCGGTTGGTGAATCGATGCAAGTTCCTCTTCACTACTACCGAAATAATATTATCGGTGCTATCAATTTACTAGAGGTAAAATTTAACCGAACAAGCTTTTAACTCGTCGTAGGTGTTATTTTTATAATAAGTGAAATAACATTTGAATGTTCGTTCTCATTAGGTAATGAAAGCTGCTGGATGTTTTCAATTAGTTTTTAGCAGTTCTTGTACCGTATACGGAGAATCGAACGAACTTCCAATTACGGAGGAACATCCGACCGGTAACATTACAAACGTATACGGTAGAACAAAGTATTTTATTGAAGAGATGCTTAAAGATATATCGAGAGCTGAGAAGGTATGTGTAAACTCGTTACCTTTGTCGGAAACTTGAAAGATTTATTGATTAAGAAATCTTTGTAAGCAAGATGTCTATGATGGATTTTTGTTCAACAGAATTGGAATATTATATCTCTAAGGTACTTCAATCCGGTAGGTGCTCATCCCAGTGGCTTAATTGGAGAGGATCCTACAAAACCATTTACGAATTTAATGCCATATATTGCTCAAGTAGCCTTGAGGCATAAACCCGAAATCGTTATTTTTGGAGGCGATTATCCTACGAAAGATGGCACAGGTAAGATCGAATTGTTTTAATATTTTTTAAACGATACGTCGTAAAAAAGGGAGTAATATAAATCTTCGTATTTCTTCATAGGTATACGTGATTACATTCACGTAATGGATTTGGCAAACGGTCATGTGGCGGCTTTAAATGCATTACACAAACGGCACTTGAGGCTAAAAATTTATAATTTAGGTACCGGCAAGGGTGTGTCTGTGCTTGAATTAATTAAAACATTCGAGACCGTCACAGGAACAACAGTACCATATATTATAAAAGATAGAAGAGATGGCGATATAGTGTCAATGTATGCTAATACAGACTTAGCAGAGAAAGAATTAGGATGGAAGACCAAATATAACGTCGAAAAGATGTGTATGTCGATTAATATACATATATATAAATGTACTATATGTATTTAAGAATTTTCTAAGGATATTTTTGTCAAATAGGTGAAGATTTTTGGAGGTGGCAAACGAAGAATCCGCATGGCTACCGTACTATAGTTAAAAATGGTGTTAGCGAGCATGTAAATGGCACTTCATAATAATATAATTCGATTATTCTTGAAGCATAATTAATTTATGATAATAATAAAAAAAAAGTAATAGCACTGAAATATTTATTATATTCCTATATTTTATTTTACGTAGTTAATTTATTTACATCTGTTTTACTATTGGTTTGAACTTCTTGTGTTTCCTCTATAACTGTATAGAGTGACAAATGCTGAAATTTTAGAACTTCAAGACCCCAACTTGTCCAATTAGGAAGCAAATATCTTGCAAATATTTCTAAACACTTTGGTTCATTTGGAAGATACTCTTTCATAACTTCTACAATTTCAAGTAATATATTTATGCAATCTTAATACTGGAATCATTCCATAGAAATCAGCATAAGTGGTATTTACCTGTAAGCGGCGGTTTGTGAGAATGTACCGCACTTGGAACACTTATTATTAATTTCCCATCAGGAATGTTTATTTCATTGTGTTTTAATACAGATCCCAACACTAGTAATTCATAAGGCTGCTTGCCAAGTGTTGAATTAAAATTGCATATTGTATTTCCCGCTTGAGTGACCTAATGTGTACATTAAGTCAAATGGTAATTAAAATTCAGCAAACCATATCTTTTAGCAATCTGTGAATATTAAGTAATTCTATGCTTACTTTGATCCAATACCACTTTGCTTTAAATGTTATACCCCAAGATGGAAATATATTGTTAAAAATACTATTCAGATGACTAGGAGCATTTGTGCACCATATTGCCACAAGCCCATTTGAACACAATAATTTTCCAATTGGTATTTTGGCTAGCTCCTCATTGTACATCATTTTGTAACTGTATTAACATAAAAATATAAGACTCACTTTGTATAATCTATAGTATGCACTTACAGTAAATTGCTGTTAGCAATACTTTACAAAAAATAATTTCAAATAATCAAAAGAAAATTATAGCAATTCTAAAATATATCAACATTGTTTTGATATTGTTTAACAATATTCTTATGTTGAAAAGTTTCATCTAAAATCTTATTTACCCATATGCTTGAAAAACTGAGAACAAGGAAAACTTATACTATTATCAAAGTCCTTATTCTCATTAAATTGTTCAGAAAGTTTGTTTTTTTACTGGCTTATACTGAACCATACTAGATCACCTAGCTTCCAGGTATTTGGTCTTTTTCCTTCTTATAGACTTGTTCCACCAAGGAGGATCCAACAATATAAAATCGTATTGATTGCTTAGCTCCAATTTCTTAGCAATATCTTTCACATCATAACAATAAAAGTTACATTTCTTTGGAAATGCATATTTCTTTTCTTTTGCTCCCGATATAATAGCTATATCCGCATCATTGCAACCATAAAAATATTCTTCTTCTGCAGAAAATGTGTCCTGATAAAACTTCTGTGATACCAAGCGCGCAGCTTCATTATTATTCGGTATTACATTACAAGCAAATAAGCCTTCTGTTTTTGCAGATGACATTATTTGATTAAATGCTTGTTTGACATAATTAATCTAGGAAGTACATAGTAATAAAAATTGCGATTGTACCTTTGACTAAAAAGTTGTCAAATTTGTTTATATCTAATAAATCTATTTGCATACCTCTTTCAGATCATCTTCTGGCAGAAGTCTTGATCTCTTTCTTTTTCTACTCTTATTTTGTAACGGGTTTTCTTCGTCTCGATCAAATTGAGTAGTCTGATTTTGTCGCAAATATTGAGAATTGATTTCAAATAAAGTCTCATTGAAAATTAACTTGCATAGCGTATTACAATCTTTCACATTTTTATATATATCATTAAGATACTGCAAATGGGATATTATCCATCCTTCTTCTGTACTAAAACTTATGCTCATAATTAGCTTCAATATATTAGATTAATCATTAAGAACAATCATTTGTATTTAATTTGCACAATCGTTAAAATTTGACCTCTCTTTCACATGCACATCCTATGTGAATGTTCCGATTGTAAGATCCTTATATCGGCTTAAGTGATTTCACTGCACGACCGTTGTTATAGCAACGATCTTATTGGTGTAGGTTAAAAAAATGGCGGTTGTGTCAGAAAGTTGTTAGGTTAGAATAGTTGATTACATTATATGTTTTTCTTGGCATTTTAGTAATTAGACAAATAGCTGGAAATAGTTATTCGTGTTATCAATTATAAAATTACCCATAAAAGTAAAAATGAGGATTGCTGTAGAAGGATGCGCCCATGGCGAATTAGATATTATTTATGAGACTATCCAAGAAATGGAAAAAGCTGATAGAAAGAAAATAGATTTACTCATTTGTTGTGGAGATTTCCAATCCACGAGAAATTTGAGTGATCTGAATTGCATGGCTGTACCTGATAAATATAAGAGCATGTGTACCTTTTATAAGTAAGTGATTGGTTTAAATTTATTTATATTGGAGTTTCATGACTACATTCTTAAGAAGCCTTTCTTTTTTATAATGTAAATTAATTGCTCGATATTTTACAGATATTATTCTGGGGAAAAAGTTGCTCCTGTGTTAACAATTTTTATTGGAGGCAATCATGAAGCATCAAATTATCTCCAAGAATTACCATACGGTGGATGGGTAGCACCTAATATCTATTACCTTGGATATGCTGGTGTTGTAACGATAGGCAATATTAGAATTGCTGGTTTATCAGGCATTTATAAAAATCAGCACTTAATGCAAGGGCATTATGAAAAGCCTCCATATAGTGAAAATACCATTAGGAGTGTATATCATATTAGGAATTTAGAAATATTTAGATTGAAACAGGTATTCTACAGTCCAAATCTTTAGTTTAAATATTTTACATAGATTCAAATGTTTTTTAAACATTTCTTCCTTGACCTGTTGTTAAATTTTTTTATAGCTTAGTGGCAATATTGATATTTTTTTATCTCATGATTGGCCAGCAGGGATAACCAAGTATGGAGATGAGAATAGTCTATTAAGAGGAAAACCATTCTTCAAGTAAATCAATAAAGAACTTTTAGCATATATATTATTTGTTACAAGAGGTTTCAATATTTTTTATTTCAGAAATGATATTGAGAATAATATGCTTGGTAGTCCACCAAGTATGGAACTCTTAGAGTATCATTATCCAGCTTATTGGTTCTCTGCACATTTACATTGTAAATTTGCAGCTCTTGTTCCTGAAAAACAAGGAGCAAGGGTAACTAAATTTTTAGCCCTTGATAAGTGTCTTCCAAAAAGAAAGTTTCTTCAAATTCTTGAATTGGAACATGAACAAAGTTTACCACTAAAATTACATTATGATTTAGAATGGTTGACAATTTTATATTTAACCAATCATTTATTAAGTGTGAAAAGTGGTATTCATTACATGCCTGGACAGTATGGTAATAACAGATGGATATTTACACCAACTGTGGAGGAGAAGGAAAACGTTTTGAAGAGATTTAATTTTAATTTAGAAATTCCATTAAATTTCACACAGTCAACAAAGCCATATGATCCTAACGTTTCGGATGTTTCAATTGAAGCACCAAAATTATTAATAAATAATCAAACTACATTGTTCTGCAACACTTTAGGGATTGATGATCCGTTTGTTTTGTTGCAATTAATGAGCAATACAAAGGAATTTAAATCAAATGGATCATTAATAGACACATCTTATGAACAAGTGCCAGGTTCTATTGATAATTCTGTTTCATTTGAGGAAGATAATGTTTTAAACTCTACTTTTGATGGTAGTATAACTGGGGATTCTTTTAATCGGACATCACCATTAAATTTATCTCCTAAAAGTAATAGTGAAGAACAAGATTTACCAATAAGTAATAGTAAAGAAACTGTAGATGAAAGTTTAAATAATTTAACTTCAACAGTCAAATTAGACTGTTCTGATGACAGTGAGTAATCTTGTGATTACAAATACCAAAACACCATTTATTACACTATATATGCTATTAGATATGCAATAAAATTTAATTTTCATATTTCAGGTCACAATCATTTTATACAGATTGAACCAAATTGTAAAAAATTTAAACGGCGGAATTATGCTATTTATTCCAATACACTTTAAATGTGATTTAATTCTTTATTGAAAAGAAGGACTGGAATGTCTTATTCCTAATTACAGCATTGTTGTATATAAAGGAATTTAATGAATCATGTAAAAAATTATTGTGTACATAAAAATGACATTTATTTCTTTTAGAAAATTATTTTCTAACGGCACAGAAAAATGCGAAAAATGCTATTATATATTTGTTTTTTATTGAATAAACAAAAATGATTATCGAATTCTTTGTTTTTATTTATATTGCGTAATCATACGCTACTGGCTTTTACTACCATTATTGTTGACTGCAGTAATCAAGTCTCGAGCTTTAAGGTTAGGAAATTGTATACACTGTGCTGTGTTACATTCATACATTGATGGTTAAATAAAGAAATAAAAAATATATTTTCTGTGTTAATAATGGTAATAAATTGAGAAAAGCATAACGCTTTTGTAATAATTCTTATTGATTTCATACAACTATCTATGCAGATACGTGTTTGTTAAGACAATACAAACTTAGTATTATTAATGCAAAATGGATAAACTGACACTTATTTCGGGAACATTATTTTTGGCTGCAAATGTATTTGCAATTATCAGTCTTGCTATGCCTGACTGGATTATTACAGATGTTGGTGGTAAGTAATCGTACAGCATATATTATTTTAATTGTTAAACTGTAATGATTATATAGTTTTCCTATAATATTGTTTATATTATGAAAAAATTACAATTACATATGTTTTTTTTTCAATCTGTAGATATTAAATTTTGTATTTTTGACAGGAGATACAAGATTAGGATTAATGAGGTCATGCATGACATTATACAACAGACCCCAAGTTTGTTATAATCCAGATTTGCAGCTAGAATGGTTGATGGCTCGTGTTTGCATTTTACTTGGTTGCGTTTTAATAACAGGAACAATAATTTTATTAGCTAGATCCCATTGGGATCGTGATATTATTCCTTATGCAAGATGGGTGGGATTCACAGCTAGTAAGTATATACAATATGTTCAATTATTTTTCAAGTGTGCAAGGTATTTGTCAATTACTAAATGTGTGATTATGTTTTAGTGGTGTTATTCTGCCTAGCAGCAGTTATATTTCCAATGGGCTTCCACATAGTTGAAATTGGTGGACAACCGTATCAATTACCAAATTCTCATCAAGTCGGCAATTCTTACATTCTTTTTGTTTTAGCTTTGTGGATTACTGTCATCTCAGAATTGTTTGCAGGCAAAGTTTGTCTACCACATTTCTAGCATTTTTCATTTTTTAAGTGCATTTTTTATACATGTTTAATTTTAGTAGGATTTATAATATTTATTTGAATTGTACATTTATTATTAATCATTATGCATCCTAAACAATTGTAAATAAATAGATGATAGGAACACCATAAGGTTTGTCATGTGTTGTTTATTCATAGGAAGATCCTATTTAGTTATATAATAAATTATGTAAATAATAAACAAATTTCCATAACATATATACATACTTTTATTAGTTTCTATAAACTGTAGATATATATTTACAATTCCACAGGAAGTAAATGAAAATTATTACTTTGTATTTTGACGCATAAATTACAACTGTAAAATTTTACTTAAAACATATCTTATCTACATTATCTGGTGAATAACATGTAAATATTGTATATAAGATGTTTCGCAATGGAATTCTATAACTTTGCTGCTTTATTAAATTACTACATTCGCGTATAAATATTATTTTATTTAAATTATAAGTTTTTTAAAGTAGTTCAAAATGGAGAAAAAGAAACAGTAAAGTTACAAAATCATACTTGCAATGACCCAAAGCAATTAATAGTTTTTCTGTGTAAAACCAATTCCAATTCAATAAGTATTAATTCTCCTAATTTACCACACATTCTAATAGTAAGAATCTTGACATAATTTAAGCATTTTTATAATATAAATAACATAATACAATCAATTATTTGTTAATTTGTTAATAGTATAAATTCAATTTAATAGTTAAATTTGTTACAAAAAAATAGAAAACATACTTTTACATGAGTTAAGATGTAAAAAAAAGGCAATATATGAATGAGTACATTTTTTTTTCTTTTGCTTTTCTTCCCTTTTTTTCAAAAATTTAATAATTGAAGATGCAAATCTAACGTATACAATGTAGATTTGTACACGAATTCGGTATTGTTTATACAATCTCCCTTACTACCGATGTCAGTATTCCATCTTACCAATTATTTCTTTTTCTAGAAAAATGTTTTTTACTAATTTCCAGACGAAAATAACACTGAAATAAAATAATACTGGAAGCAGAGAAACACAACATTTGAATAGAGTTTCAGCAAGTAAAAAATCATTAAATTAGTATATAATGAAATGAAGAAATTATTGGCAAGTTGGAATATATATTTATAAGTGCGCAGGAAGGTTATATACAAAAATAACTTAAGGCTTAAAATGTCCTTTTCTCAGATATATATAAAATTTGCATTTCATAGAAATTTTGTCCTTAAAGTAGAAAAACTTTTATCTATATTTTTGTCTCCTTTTCTACAAAGTTATGTATATTTTCTCTCACATATTATATACTCACAATCAGATAAGAAAGATATGTACAAGAGATCTCGACATTTAATATTTTTATAAAATGTAATGTGTAAGCGCTTAATTATGTAACTTCAATAGAACTATGAGTGCCAAAATCAAAACTCTTATTTAACTTCAACTTTAACTGTCTTTTTATTTTGTGTACCAAGAAAACTATGCATAAACCTTGTAACAACAATCTTAGTACAAATATTAGATGGAAGTACAGCATGTTAAAAGGAAATAGCTTTTTGTTTCTCATGATATTGGATAATAAACACTCTCTGTATTTAGGTATAAATATCAACAAGAACCACAAAACTGTAAAAGCCATTCTTTCAAATTGCCTCTTTAGACTTAAAATACAGTTTCACCTACACGTTTAATGTTTTCTGTCTAACGTGCTTTACCACTATTTGACTGATTATTTCCGATAGTATCGCATCTTCGATAATATAATAAATATGGAACTCTGGGAGGAGTTGGCTTTAATACATTACCCTCTGAAACACCTTTTAATGAACTATCGTCATACCTGACCCAACCACCGTATCCAACATGAAAGGCATCCGTTACATAATGACCTTTTGTCGCTTCTTTTCCATCGTGATAAGTAACAGCAAACAGTTTATAATGTTTTTGTTTTGGATTCAATTTTTTCATAGCATTTGGCGATAGGAATTCTGTAACAAAATGGTATGGATTTGATATCATCTAATTTATCTTATTGTCATCTTATTTAACGATAACAACAATAAGTTTACTTACTACTATCTAATTTCAGGTCCACTGGAAACTCTACGCTTTTTAGAATTTTTGAACATCCATCAAGTTTGTAGTCGAACCACTTTAAATGTAATATAAGAATGACTGGCAATTCTTCTAAAGTAACTTGCTTCCAGGCTTCTATTTGTTGTTTTGTTTTACTACATGTTATTCCTTCTAATTGGTCTTTTCCAACAAGAATTTCGAGCGCGCTTTTCACGGATACAGCTTTCTAAACAAAATGAATCAATTGTTCAATAAATGACTGTATAAGAATACAACAAAAATTGCTTAAAAAAGAATACCTCGATATCAAGTTGTAATGTAAAAAAAGGCTGGACGTTATCTGTTGGTTGTTCTCCTGCTCGTGATACCCTCGATCTTAATTGTCCGCGGAATATATCAGATAATGGTGTTCTACCGAATTCGGTGCATCGTGTAATAGATCCTTTATTTTTTGGGCCCATAACCTGAAGCAGCATAAGATTAATATTTTCCTTTGCATTCAGAAGTTAATTTATGTGTAAAAGGAAAGGCATTTTACCTTCCATTCTTCTTCTCCATTATTATAGTTTATATTAGTTTCAACACTAGTCATTACGTTTTGGTCGTTATTCGCTAATTTAATAAGCTGAAATAAATAATGGCTGGTTATTTCAGTTTTAGAGTTAAGTTACGATTAAAATGAATAACGTGTTCATACTTCAAGCATTTCATCATTGATACCATTCAGAAGGCACGAAAGGAACTCTTCTGCATCTTCTTGGCGCCCTTCCACAGAAAATACACCCGCAGCTGACGTGTTTTTTAACATTGTATATACATAAGAAGGTTCAAAGGCCACTCCACTCTGTATATCTACTACTGTGTCTTCCCCTCGTTTGTTCACCCTATCTTTTCTAGCCAATCGTGCACCATCCGATAAAGGTGTAAATTCATGTACAAATTTGATCCTATATTATAAAAATTATAGAGTTAAATAAAACTGTATGGTAGTTTAAAACAACAATGATATGTCTGACAAGAAGCTTTGCTTACATATTATCGATAAGTGGAGTGGAAGACATTTTACTGGGATTTTTAGAATGCGGTAGAGCCATTAAAAGATTATAAAAAGGTGGACAAGCTAGCAAAGCTTGTAATATACTATTAATGTAACAGTAATTGCTACGATTTGTTAATCCTCGAGGTAATAAACTTACAGTTTGTTTATCCATTTGATAATTTAATAAAAATTCTGAAAGAATATGTTCAAATGAATAAGTCACATTTAACAGTGTGTACTTTTGTTTGCTCCAATTGAACAATACTTACCTCCCATCCGATAGGAAATAGGATCATTGTATCGATTTTGCAATGATTCTGCTTGTATGTTCTTATTTTCATTTACTACGTTTTGTGAACTGGATGGTACGGCATCATTTACAAAACCTGATGTACTTGTACGTTGATCTTTTTCTGATTGTGACGGTACTTTGGTAATTACATTACTTTCTGTAATTGGACTAGCGGGTAAAGGATTAATGCGCGCCATAGGTTTGTAATTCGAGACAGTTGATTGTGCATCTGCATTTCCCTTTTTCAAAACACTCGCCCAAGATATACTAGATGCACCTGAGGATGATGTAGCGGGAACAGCTACTGGAGTGTTGGTAGTAACAGAAGAATTATTTGGTGTTTTACTAACAACTTCATCCGGTCCGCTCTTTATAGAAGTATCCTCCTTTTGTGCTTCACTTTCACCTTTAGATACTGGTTTCGACAGTGTTTTAACAACAGTAGTTTTAATACTAGAAACAGTTTCATTCTTATATTCTTTATCAGTTTCTCCATTTTGTTTCACTTCAATGCTACTATTAATATTCACGCATGGCACATCATTTTTCTCAGCTCCATTACAATTTTCATTCACAGTTGACACAATATTATGCTCTATTTTCACATTTACAGGAGGTACTTTTCCATTTGCATTGGCATTTTTCCTGGTGGCAGTATTGTCATCCACATTGTCATTGCATTGTTCAACTTTACTGTTATTTACAGTTATTACTGTAGTAACTATATTGGTCTGCGAGGAGTTATCCTCCTCATTTATTTGATGAAAAGGTTGTTTAGCAGGCGTATAGACATTTTGCATTTGTTTCTCATGTGATTTTGTAGTCTGTATTTTTGTACAGTCTTGAGCAGGTTGAGAAAGCATAGGTGTTGCTTGTCGAATGCATCTCATATTATTAGAAGGATGATGATATGGAGGATATCCATATGTAGGTTGTGCATGTGGATGTGTATTTGTGTGCGTATGAAGATTCGGCTGATATATTGCTAATGGAGGATAATGAACGTGACCAGAGAATTGCTGTTGTTGAGTTTGATCAGGATACATAACTACAAAAGATAGTTGTGGATGAAATTGTCCTTGTTCTCCCATATATCCAGGCTGTATTTCATTTGCAGGATTCATTCCACGATTGAAATTATCTCTCCTTATACCTCTCCCTCTGTTATTTCTTCTATTGTTTTCTCTGTTACAATTAACATCGTGGATCTCACCACCAAGATTATATCCAGGATGAGAATAAGTAATTGCAGGCATAAATGGTTGTATATGAGCATCTGTTGGAACAGGATATATAGGTGGACCCTGCCACTCATTGCACATTATTTGTTGCGTATATGAAGGAGGTGGTGGTGGTATTGCTAGATAAAAGATATTGTTTATGTATTAATTACTCAGATTAGAGGCTAATATATACATATAATTGTCAGTTTATACAATGTAATTACCATTGTGATACCACTGATTTTGTAACTGTGGAATTTCTGTTATAGAAGCATTGATATCATTATTAGTTTCAACCGTATCCCATGGCAATTTTAAGGCATCAGTAGTGACATTAGATTTCAGGATACTAAGTAAATGATTCTTGTCATTTTCATTTAAATCATGTAAATCCAAAAATTGAAAATCAAGCTGAAACATACAATGAAATGTAAAATGAAAATGAATTAAATTGAAGAGAACAATCCCTCATGATGAGAACAATACATGTGCAGAACTGTTATTATAAAATCTATTTAAATCACAAAGATGTAAATCATATATAATGAATACATAGAATTCATAAATAATTTTAGGTCAATCAATAAATACTCAGCAGTGCTATTTTATGACTATTTTTTTCTTTCAAACTGAGTATATACTGTTATTCTATAATTCTTCTTGAGAAAGCTTCTGAATACAAAATCCGACTAGATATTAATATTAATATAAATTAATACAAACTAACAACTGCTTATACAACAACTTGAAAATGTTGATTACAAAGAAATGTACTTTTTCCATGCTTATGTAACACGTTATATTATTTACACTTCAACAAAGTATTTCGTCGGGCGCGCACTGTTCTATAATCAACGATACTTTCAATTTTAACATGTAACCATAAGTCTAACCTCAAATCTTATGGTGCACAGTACGACTGTCGAAAATAGTTACAAATTCTTCTAACTTACTTGTTAATTATGTATGAAAGAATATCGTACCTCATTTCGAATATCCATGGTTAAATCCAAGCGCGGTGTAAAACATTAGAAACAATACCAGCAGAGAGACATGAGGCTCCGGTGATTTGTGTTGGCGATAAAAAGGGTAGACGTTGATGTTAACGCTAATGTTACTTTTTGTTCTCGTGAAAATTACGTAAAAAACGTGTCCGACAATGAAAATACAATATTCGTATTGTCTTTGCGTAACGATAAAATGGAAGAGGGGAGCGCGGACTATTAACAAATTACACAATATGAACGATCATATTTCGGCAGTTGTGTGTAGTTAAAATGGGCCAAGCACGTTGCTCCACTGCTGGTTTCTTCTCTTCCCGAGATTGGCGTCGCCACTATCATTACTGCTGCTTTGCAGGGATATCCATTGAAACTAACTTTTCCCGCTCTCCCGTTCTATATAGCCGTTTTCCTACTGTTCAATCCCCCTTAACCGACAAACACCAGCAAATCCATCATTTCCATTCTATTCCATATTTTAATTTTCATTGAAGCGGAATCGATCGTTCAATTAATCTTATTCATCACAGCCTACGTGTTCATCAGTGTCTCTGGTAGTTACAATTTGTTCTACTTACAGCAACGACCAAAAAATAAACAAATCATTTACTGGTAAGAAATCTACAATATTTCCTGTATATTTTCAGCTAATAAGAATATTTCTACAAATCTACGTAGATACAAAATTCGTTCGAATCCGTCACGATGAAATTTTACGCCATATCTATAACCGCTCTCATGAGATCAAGTGAACGTCTAACGTTAAAACTTCGACAAGCGAGTCACGCGTGAAATTACACGAAGGAATGATTTGAATATTTATTTATCCTTAAGCGATTCGTGATATTTAACGTAACGTTTCTGGTTCACAGATCAGACCGCCAAGAAAAGCAATAAAGTACATTGTCGTGTCCGCGAGGAGGCTAGCTTAGTCGCTTTTCTTCCAGAACAGTGAATATCACCCTCGGCAGTCGAGAGGACGGCCGACACTTTGAGAAGATCGTACCGTACCCTCGAAGATATAAAGCTCCCGGTATGAAGCCTCGTGGCTTGAGGTCTTGCCTCTAATCTCCAAGCACATGCATTATGTATTGGCTGACCCGATACACTATCTGTTTGACCATGTTCCCACGTTGAAAACTGCTCTCTTTTTCTACTTATTCAACTGTAAGACAGTTGCGCAACGCACGTCTCGAAAGGTACAAATACAACATTTACTGATAATATCAAAAAAAGAGAAGAGCCTCGTATTGTTCTTTCTCTCGAATTAACGAGGAATTTCAAATTGCAGGTAATCGTCGCTTGCTTCTTTACCGGCCGAGACAGTAACGCCTGTAGGTAGGCAACCGAGCTTGCGTCCAGCGTTGCATGGTGGCCACACTTACCTTTTCCATGAACCCGTTTCCATCATTCTGTTGTTTCAACTGTTTGGCATGCTGTTTAAATCGTTTCACTTGAACTTATAATTATTTAACTTAAATTAACATAGGTTTTCTTTTATTTGGTCAAAGATTTGTACACTTAACTTATAATTTATATTTATACTTAAAAATAGTATAGCGTCTCAAAGGATTCCTCGGATGAGTGGATTATATTAAAGAATTCTATAGTAAAATGAACTTTTTGTTGCTAGTTCGATGAAAAAGTTCTATTATCCGGTCTGTTCGTCGCTCGATATACGACGGGCGACGCTAAAAATCTCGTTGGTCGTGAGTGCACGACGTGTTTCCCTTCATGGCCTAGATACGAAACGCTTTTATACGTCATTTACGATATTTATGTTATGCACCGTCGCCAGCAATGTACGACCTTACGTTTAGTTTATATCCCGCCGCCACGAGGTGCGAGTAAAAAATAGCAACACTTTTTTTTTATTGCACGATCGTATCGGCGGCTTGCGGCACGCATCGAATACTGCGTTACGAAGTAATACGACTGCGGAGGAATGCTATAAAACCAGCGTACGGGCAGTTTCAAAACGCGAGACGCGATTCCGACGGAGAATCGGATCTTCTCCCGACGAACGTACAGCGAACCTCGCTTCCGTTTGTCTATTCTTACGAACACGCGACGCTTTTCGACCCACGACCGAGTATTTCCCCGCGCGTTCGTTTAATTCTCGAAAAATCCAGTCTCCGTTCCCCTCGACGCGTGTTTTGCAACATTCTGTACCGTCACGCGTGCGTGCATGCGTGTCGCGGAAAGCGCACGCAACTCATGGATTAACATTGCCGCAGCTCTCCGGCGGTTTGCGCTTTATTAAGTCTTTACCGAGTTTTTAGCGGTTCATCGATCTTGCTCCACCGTTTCCCCGGGGTTTAACGCTAGGTTTATGGATATTTACTGTACACTTCGCTATATGCTCCTAGAGAAAAACTTCGTTCGTTTCGATCTTGGCAATCGCGGGTGCGCGAATGAGCAGTCGGAACACGTGTGCGTGAAATTGACGCGCTCCGTGAACCCGGCGAACGCGATGGAAATCCGCCGGAGAATCGTGAATCCTCGGACCTTTGAACCGCGAGGTGACGTTTAGAAACTGGCAGTAGAGAGTCCAAGTATCGATGACGATCTTCGTACTTTTCAGGCGGAGGCAGGAGCAGAACTCGGCGGGGTTAAGGCCGCGCCGAATGACAAATAAATATGCTAATGGGGTGCGTTCGGGGAACCTCAAATGCCGCGCGTCTTAACGCTCGCGCCGAAAGAAGAAAGTTAAACGAAGTTGCCCGAGGTAAGCATGTCCGGGCCGTTACGAAGGGAAACGCCGCGAACAGGAGGAAAAAGAGGGACCAGCCTGTGGGGCGGAACGCGGGGGAGGCTCGAGGAAGACGGGACGGCCGGAGTTCTCTTAAATAATAGAAAATTCAGAGGAAGTTGATAAGCCGGGCCCGCGTTCAAACTTTTCACTCGGCGCCATCCATTTCTTATTATAATGAATGCATATCGGCTTAGCCCGAGCTGGAAAGCTACGGCCGTAAGAACCCTTTCGCAGTTTTTGCGGTGCCCGATCCCTGCCCCGCGTTGCAATACCATCGATTCAAATGCCGCGACGTGTTCGCGGAATAACAAACAACCGGGCAGCGTTTTTACCACCGCGACTTTTAATTCTTACGTGGAATCGTCTGAGCTTTATTCCCCGCCGATGGGAGTAAACTGTACTATTGTAACTGCAGAGTTCACTGTTGGAGATGTGACTTTAAGACGATTGATTCGATATTAATATTAGAATTACCGCACCAGCGCAAATCGCTTTCGATTCGTTTGTTTAATTATTGATATCCTAACAGCAATATTCGAAATGATCTTGGAGATAGATAGTTCCATTGGAATACTATAAATGCTCCAAATTATGTTTTCGATTTCTTCTTTAACCCTTTGCACTCCAGAAGTTTTTCACCGGAAATACTCAATATTTTCTAACGAGGTACAAACATTTTCTATTTTCTTTCAATATTTCGTACATTGATGCATTATACAAAGTTTAATATTAAATAAGTTTACAGTTTTGCTGTGTCAAATCATTGACTTAGAGGCGTCTCTGGAGCGCAAAGGGTTAATTATTGGAAAGAGAGGGAAGCTTACCTTAAAGATTCCCAAATAAGCTGACGTGGCAATGGGCGAACTGAAATATAAGTCGGTGTAAATCTCAATGACCGTAATGTCGGAACTTCTACGAAAAGATAGAGGAAAGGTAGTTGTAACGTCGTAGGAAATCGCCGTGAGATTAATGCCGATTGCTCGCCGATGGATCTAATAGATCGGATTTCAACGGCGAGGAGGGTCGGCCGGACACATTTTTCCTCCATCCATCGAGACGAAGTCACCGGTTAGGGTGGCGGTCCTCGGCGAGTTTAATTCGAAATGTCAGTGGCAGATTGCGTTCGGCGAACCACATGTTGCCAGGCCGACTTCTCGCGATATCGTGCCTCACACCCACGCGCACGTCGAACCACACCGCGCGGCATATTTCGGCGATTATTATTACCGCGGGCAGCGTGTCTTGCGGCGTGACGGTTTCACCCATACACGCGCACGTATAGGTACCGCACACACGCGCGCCGGTTCGCCATTTTCGTTCGCCGGATCGATCGCGCGTATTTCCCGTAAAATCGTTTGCCGTTCGATCGTTCAACCGTGCGGCCGATCTCGATGCCACGCCAGAACTGACTCGAACCGGATCGCCATTACGATTCACCGAACAGAAAAAAAGCGTCGTTCGGAGGAGCAGGGATTGGACGAAATAATGGAAACGTTGCTTAGAATATTTCAAGAGTTTCTGCGTGGAAAATGGTATAACATCCAGTGAAAAGTTATTCGGAAGTTGAACTGCGTTGAGAGTATCAACTTTGCACTGGAGTTTCTAAGTAGTTTGATTTGATAATATCTTATATATATTATTAACCCTTTGATCGCCATTACTTCGACACAGCAAAATGGTGAAGTTCGATATTTGATATTAAACTTTATACAATGCTTCGATCTGTGTTCCTCAATTTATGTGCGACTTCCCGTCAAGCCAGTTCGAAAGAATGTCGTCGGTATCTCATCAGAAAATGTTGAGTATTTCCAATGAAAAACCCGCGGAGTGCAAGGGGTTAAACTATGCTTCCTCATAACTCCGAGATCACACTCGCACGTTTGGAATACCGAGTTGCAAACAAATGGTTCAATCACTCGAACGGCAAGAAATCGGTGCATAGTTTCCTTCCTCTATTTCAGCGTTCATCTAATTCAGCAGAATCCGCGGAAAGTCTTGTATACCTTAAACAATCTTTCGCAAAGTTGAACCACTAGACTATATTAACCAAGTATTAGACCCAAATGGATAAAATTTTCTAAAGACAACGCAAAATCGCTCGAATGCACTGGTTGTCTCCTTCCTGCCTCAACCCCCGTATTTCCGAAGAGGGACAGCGCGGCACCCATGGCGCGCGCGGGGGGACGGTAAGGGAAATTATGCCGGAAAGTTTCTACGCGGCAGCGAAGCCTAAACCGGGGTTGCTTTATTAACAGGCGCGCGGGGGCTAATAAAATCCGCGGAGACAAATGGCCTCGGGTCCCGTTAAATCATCGCGAAAAACGTCGACGATTTAATAAGCAATTTCATGGAAATTCTTGCGGATCGTTAGCGTAACGACACTCTCGATATAATTTGCTGCCTACTTTCCGCTAAACGATACGAACGGCTCCTCGAGGATATCGGGACGTCGCTTGCACGACGTTCCCTCCCCCTGATTTGCCGCGGAACCTTCGTTCCCTTTGTCGTCCGTCCGTGTGCACGGTCGCGTATTCGGCGAACGTTTCTAGGACGGTACACGCCGGATAAAATATTCGCCGGGGACGGGGATAAATGTAAGTCGGCCGACGGGGATCGTCTTAAGCGCGCGTGGGCCAG